TCACTTGTTTACTCCTATTCAAAGAGCATGTTATCTCATTCTCAAGCAGCTGAAAAGAAAATACTTCAGCCAGGCCTCTCTCAATGACGGTCAAGTAATTATTACCTCCGGAATAAGCACACATCATTTGAAGACTGTGATGTTTTGGACAAGTGAGAGGACCGAGCCAAGTGAGTGGCAAACTGACCCTGGGAAATGTCTCTCCCTCCTTCTCCAAACCCTTGTTGATTTTCTCCAAGCTAAACATTGTCCAAATTACTTTGTTCCTGAAGTCAATCTCTTTGAACGACTATGGATGGATGAGAGAAAGTTTCTATTTGTGAAGGATGATGACCAGCTAAGGGACACAAGAATTCAAGCTGTTCTTGAACTTGTTCTTCAAGTACAGGTGCATCTTGAAGAATATTTAACAAGTGAGCTTTTGCAAACTGTTGATGAAGATCATGAAAGGACAGAGTCAAATGCTAAATTTGCAGAAAAAGATTTCTTTTCTGGTTTTAAATTTGAAATGGCAAAACAACTTGCTTCATTAGATTCTCTGTTCACTGATTTGCCTGACTTAGGTGAAAGTAAACAAGAAGAAAAAGCAAAGAAGGATGAATTATAGAAACACAGCGGGCGGAACAGTTGGCGGATTCTGCCGACCCAATTACCATCTAAAAGTGGATTAATGGTCAATAAGTCAGCAAGATGAATGGACTACATTCCATAAACTTTGACTTTGATGAAGGCCATGGACTCTGTTACACAAACTTTGACTAAACATATGGACTTAACCCACAAGCGTGACAGTTAAAAACGGCATAGAAATGGGAAGCCAATGATCTGCTAAATGAAATACAACTTAAAAATCAATCAAATGTAAAACACTTTCAAACTGATGTATTATTAATGTTAAATTATGTAATCTACATGATAATGAATATTTTAATAGTAAGTAAATGCAACATTTTACAAGCTTGCTGGATATGTAACAACTGTGTGTATTTGCTGCAAATATGTGCTGATATAATAGGCTTTAGGACTTGCAGAAAAAAATCCATTCTAGAATAATGAATTGCAGGTCTGTCATCTTATGCTAAAAAAGTTAAGGTTTCATGTTAGGGACTGGTCGTAAAGTACAGGGGTGGGGGAGGGGGAGTGAAAACAGGAAGTGGGTCACACAATTATAAACTCCTTAAAAGGGGGTGGGTCATTTGCAAAATTCTCTATGAGAATTAGCAGGGCCCAGATGAAAGTTACTCTGTGTAATTCTGGTTTACCCTGTCTAAATTAAGTGTTGTTGTTGTTGTTGCTCCTCAATAGCATTCATTTGAGTGGTCATATCATATGATTTCATTCAGAAACTCAAAAGTTTAAGCAAAATCCGGCATGGCCTAAGATTTTACTCTGGGACTATAAGGGTTTCAAAATGAGTAATTGGTGACTACAGTATGTTATAGTCAAAACATAGCCAGTAGGATAATATTTTACTATCACAATACACAAATGTCTAACACAGTTCAAAATGACAACAGTAATGTACACAAATTTTAGCATTTATTTAAGTCTCTTTTGTTCTCTTGACCTTTCAGGGTTGTACTAATCCATACAATTTTGATATAATAATTTTGGTTTTCTGTTAGGTTTAATAATAATCTAATATTTGGTCGGAGTATCCAGGAAATTAGGGTCCTCGCACTATTTCACCAAAAAATAAACAACAACTACAATGTTTAAAGTAGAGGTCGTTTTTGTCTGGACCCTAAATTAAGTAGAAAATATATTTTTTTTACGCAATAGACCTCTTTAGCTCCGTTTGTTTGTTGTCCCGCTTCAGACCACATGATGCTCCCTTCACGTGAATTAGTTTGAATTTGAAAGAAATAACTCTCAAGGGTAATATCACATGCTCAATTCAATGGGCTCAATTCAGTGGGCTCAATCATTTCAATCAATTCAATGGGCTCAACATCACATACTCAATTCAATGGGCTCCTCCGAGTCCATTTTTGATGGGCCTAAGTTTGAGTCTAACGTAATAGCATTTCGTTTGCCCGCTTGCTAGTTTTATGATAATTTCCCAGATTTGTTATATCATTTCTTTGTCGCTGTAATTTTTGCGCCTGTATATTCTATTAAACAAGACGCCTAAAGTCGTTTCCGTGGGATGCGTTGCTCTATGGAAGCATAATGGCCTTCTATCTGAATTTGGAAAAATTAGGGAAACCGGAAAGATGTGTCATGTTATGAGCATCCGGAGTAGGTTACCTGTATGGGTTGGTTTACAATGTGCTTATGACTGAATTTATAGCGAGCCAGCTGGCGGTGGGGATTGTCAGCAATCTCATTACTAAATTCCTTAACTTGGCTATTGTTCTTCGATCGGGTTGGGATGTCAAATTACCTTTGTCCCCCTCTGTTAGAAAGGAACTCACTTTCTGGAAGGACAATATTAGGCTTATGAATGGTAGGCCTATCGGACAGCGTTTTTCCACTAATAGAACTATTGTTTATTGTGTCGCGAGTGATTTAGTTGTCGGAGGGGGGGGGGGGGGTTCTTAAAGGGCACGATGGTCTCATTTACCACCATCCATGGTCCCCTCAGGAGGCAGGCCGCAGTTCTACCTGGCGTGAGCTGCAAGCGGTCCACATTTGTCTCTCCAGCTTTTCCAGATCCTTAGCCGGTTGCACTGTCCAGTGGTTTACGGATAATCGCAACATCGCCTCCATTATTTGCAGTGGTAACTTGAAGCGAGATGTTCACGAACTCGCCTTGTCCATCTTTAGATTAGTTCTCTGGAACGCAATCGATTTGGGTCCCTAGATCCCTCAACAAGCACGCGCGCGGATGCCATTACCAGGTTCATTGTCTGCGATGACTACTGAGGGATGTCCTTACACTTTTCAGTCATGTGGATGGCCTATCTGGGGCCCACATTCTGTGTATCGGTTTTCCAAATTCCCACAACTTTCTTAATAGGTTCTATTCTCGCTGTTGGAACCCTGTTTGTGAAAGGGTCGATGCCTTTTGTTACGACTGGGTTGGGGAGAATAATTGGCTAGTATCTCCAGTGTCCCTGGTTCCTCGGGTTATTAGAAATCTTGTGCATTGCAAAGCTGTGGGTACCCTTATCGTACTCGCATGGGTTTCGTCCCCTGTTCTGGCCCGTGCTCTTCGGGATCGGGTCTTCTTACCATTCCCTTGTCAAGGGCATCATTACTTATACTGATGTTGGGGAGAATGTTCAATGCTCAATTCCAGGGATTGTGATTGGTTTGTTCTTCCGCCTCTGCTTGCGACTCCGACAATCTAGTTTTCGCTTAATCATAAGTGACGGAGTCAAAAGCGGAATCGGGATAAAGTGGTCACGTTCTGACTCTTCCGACTCCGATTACATAGAGCTTATGACTCCGCTTACGACTCCGATTTTCTATTTTCACTCTCGTAAGCGCTCTTACGACTCCGACTCCGTCGCTACTGAAAACCAACCTAAGCAACATAACACAACTTCATGACGACAACCTGGGACTCACCTGGCGTAACGTAGGGAATTTTCAGAAAAAGCTCCTGAGAGTTCATACCGCTTTTTTGCGTTCACGTTCGCATATACACGCGTTGGACCCTCAGAGGAAAGACCCGCTGCAAGCAGTCTATGTGGGCAACGAGTCAATACTACACAAAGATTAAGTACACTCACGGAGACGGCGACTGGTGGTTTACAATACAAGTTATAACGGTGAAAGAACGGTAGACGTTTGGAAATAAAGTATGGAAGAATTTGTGTCCTTGCTATTAGAGAATCCGTAGTTATCAAAGTAAATAACAACTATTCACCAAGGTGGAGGTAAGTAATGATGGTGGAGTGGTGGATTCAGACTCTATCATAGGTTGGGAACAGGGGCGGAGCAGTGAGATAAGGGGGAATGGACGGGGCTCCCCGGGGGGGGTGCAGGGGTGCGCCCCCCCCACCTGAGATGACCTGCGGTTTTCTAATACAACTGGTATTCTGCAAAAAAAAAAAACTATGTGGTTTATTGGTGTTGAAGTAGAGCAAGAGACGAGTGCACCCCCTCCTAAAAAAAATCCTGGATCCGCCCCTGGGGGAGTAGGGGAGGGGGCAGTGAGATAAGGAGGAATGGACGGGGCTCCTTCCTACAAGATCCGCCATTGATATTCGCTAAGCCGGGAGTAGCCAACCAAATAGTTACTTTGTTGTTTCTTTATTTAGTACCTTATTTTCCTTGACAGATAAGTTAAAATCTGGCGCGCGATGTCCAGAATAATAACTGGATGGCCCAGAGTTTTGAGTAGCCATTCCGAAACGGGCTAAAAATATTATGGTTAAAGTTCTCTGAGCGGACACTCTCCTATGTGGAGAGCGTTACTCACTTTATAACCTGAGATCAGGCGTAATTTTTTTTTTTGCTTCTTTGCTTCTTTGGCACGAGAGGGAAAAAATTAACACAGATTACAGAGATAAATGGAGAGGGCATGATCGCAGGCTACTCACTTTACTAACCTGTTGACATTTACAGTCAAAGATGTGGTTTTCCCGCCAAAATCCGTTTTGCACGTAATCTGAAGACAATCGTCATTGATGGTACAATCCCCAAGTAGATCCATGCGTCATTTCCCGCCAACGCGTTGGAGATTTCCTCAAACAGCTCACCCAGCTATTTGGCGGCAGAATCTGCCAGATGAAATATAAGTAAAGTGAGGCGATCAAGCTTTAAACGTTAGAGCAAGTTAACCTAAGGGGTGGGGGGTGGGGTGCGGGCGAAGAGAGTTTATAATCGATGCCTCCATAAAATTCCTGCGTTAAAGTAGCTCGCAATAGTTCCCATCATTTTCCATCAATTATTCTTTGATGGATCAATACTACCACTCTTTATCAGTTAATCCTACAAATCATGAATGGTAGGATAACTCCAACCTTTTTTCTCAGTTTCGCTTGAAGGTTCGAGGTCCAGCACTGCCAGTGAGTTTCCCAGGCTCCTTTGCAGACCCTCGTGACGCAATGGCTTGCACGAACAGCAACATGGCGGCGGGCAGTAGCTCTTCGTCTTCAAACTTTGATACAAGCCAACAGGTTGATCGAATAGCCCTGTTATATCCTAAAGTAGATGAGTCTGAAACCCCTTTGCCGAGATCTTGGTCTCCCAAAGACAAGTTTACTTTTATTGGACTTTCACAAAATAATCTCAAAGTACACTATAAAGGTAGGCGAGAGATATGGAGCATTTTTTGTGTTCTTCGAATTTCTCGAGCCCTGATATTATTAGCCGTATCATCTGAATGCTCTTACTGAATTCTCAACTTGTATAGGAAATTTCAAAAGCAGGATAGTCTAAGACAAAGTCATCTGTTTTCAAGCACGGCCGTTCAAGGACATCTGTGAAAAATGTATCAGAAATCCAATGCAAAACTGACCAAAGCTAGCGCGTTTACATTAAGCTTTTCTTCGGGACGTACATGGAGGTTGGAGAACGCATAAGAATAATCCCGGAATAATCACTGCGTACAGATAGAGATCGATAGCTGCGCCTTATCCAGGACAGGACTGAAAGCAATGGATAGCAACAAAATTGTTAAAGCTTTTAAAAGTTAGCTCCTGATGCGGTAATCGTGCATTTTTGGCTGTAAACAAAACCCTTCTTTTGTATTAAAAACAGGTGTAGGGAAAACACACAAGGACGCGGCTTCGGTTAGAGCCACTCATCCCATCCCAGCAGCTTGTGGTATTTATTATTTTGAGGTGCGAATAGTGAGCAAGGGCCGTGATGGGTAAGTTATGAAATAAATGCAAGCTTATCATTCTAATATATTTTTTTAATGAGACAATGATATTTTATAAGAGAGCAAAACATACAACAATGAATTTAATATCCATATGCTCAAGTTTATTACTGGTATGTATAATTATATAATTCTGGCTATTTTTTCACTTATTGGACTTTTTAGCAGGTGTTTCAGAAGGAAACTAGCTACTGTGGGAACTAAGGAAAAATTGGCCTGAAGAATTATCAAATGAAATCCAATGCCAATGAGAGAGCTTAAAGCACTTGCATTTTATTGAAAAAGGGGAAAGTGGATTATGATGTAGCTTTATTCTGATCAGGTTTTAGTGATATATAATGCAAATAATCAATGCAGTAGTTTTAATTTGTTAGATCTGGCTATTTTTGACTTAAAGTGAAAAAATTATTTAAAAAAAAAACAGCTGGGAGAGTAGGAGGTAGTAATTAAAACTGGAAGAGTTCCAATCAAATTATTGGAATGGAAGTCTGCCAAAATTGCTTCTTTATAACCATAGCTGGTAGAATGACCTGTGTGGGAAGCGACTATTTTAGAGAGTGATAAAGTAACAACTGAATTTTGGGGTGGCCTATCAGGAAACCTTGTTAGTTAAGGTATCTGCACCGGCAAATTTTGCATATTTTTGCATCATTATTATAGTTATTATATTGATAATTCCTCTGTTCTTGAGGAACTAAAACATATCAAAATAAATGATGTTATGTCACGCAGAAGGTGTTAATTTAATTACCCCCTAGGTTGGCAAAGAAAGAGAAAAATCAAAAATTCAGAAGAATCCATAGAGTTATTGTTAAAAAAGAAATGTAACACAAATAAGGACGCAAGATAGAATAATCCTGTGTTCGACCAAGGCACAGCTCCAATTAATCTACCTTCCAGGGCACAATTTGCTATTTTAAAATTTGATCCACATTTGAACATCAATAACTCAGTTGTACGGCAATTCTAACCTTTGGTCAAACACAGATCTCTTCATTAACATGCTCTTTGTGTATTTGCCAAATTTCACAGAGAAATGATAACCCGTTCCTCCAAAAAAGTGGTCCCTGTAATTCAAGGTGAATCAGTCACGCAGTAATTAATGCTTTTCCAGTGTAAAAAGCTTATTTTCTTCTCAAAATCAACTGTTCTTCCTTGATACTACCATCACAGACCTTCTTGCCCACCATTTTGAATCACTGCTGTGTGAAATGCTCGTGGAAGCCTAAACAAATGCCAAATAACCTCTCTATAGCCCCCTTGGATTTTGATACGTGACCAGTTGCTAGGTGTGACGCACCTCCGAAAGGTGCATTACTCAGTGTTAGCTTTAATGCAATGTGGCATGCCAAAGAGTGAAGATTGAAGGAGAGTTTCATTGAAAATCGAAAAGAATTGCTTCTGTAAAGAGAAAGAAATTGATAGAAAAACAGACTAGAGGAATAGAACCTAGAGAACATTTTACTCTCCCCGCAAAATTGTCAGAATATATCAGGTGAGCATGCACGCCAATGTGATATAAATTTTACACAATAATAAGTCCTGGAAAACGGAGTATAATTATTTCAAGAACGTAATGTATTTTGACTAGAAGCAAGTAATATTAGTCATCACAGCTTGAACAGAAGCAAGAAAAATCAAGTTGGACATACAGCAGCTGTAGTTTGTCAATGAATCCAAGCAGTGAGTAAATTTTGTTGAGCGCATCAATCGAAATTGATGCTGAAAAAGGGAGTCATTGGGAGTTATTGCGCTCCTGGTGTCTCCTGCAGTCTTTTTTCTTAGTAACGGAAATGAAAATTGTTCTCTAACTTCCGGTAAATCGGTCAACTTTTGAGTAGATTTTCTCTTAAATGCGAAGGTATATTCGAAAAAGAAAACGAGATATGCATATTACATCACCTGAACTTACTGTAGAAAGATTTTGAGGCCAAAATTTGCCGGTGCAGATACCTTAACTGAATTGGTATCGTGGCCTTCAGGAAAGCAGTTCTCAAGTTCATCACAATGTGCCTTGCTTGCTTCTTCTAGGAGTATGGAAATAGAGGCTGGTTGCTTGAACACCTAACATTAACTCTGTACTACTTTGTTTTTTTCCTTGGTAGATACATGGGTATTGGTTTATCTGCGCAGGGAGTCAACATGAATAGATTACCAGGTAAATTTTCGTCACCGATGTACCTCTTTTAAGGGAACCCCCTTTAATCCTTTTACAAGGGCACATTTTGGGCAAATTTGCATAAATCCTTAAACGTGCAGCCCCGTGTCTTTGCAGTAAAGTTAAAGACCTTCAACCCAACCTTATAGTTCCCTGTCATAGTTATAGTTTCCAAACAACCATGGACTGACTGCTATCCAATATTCCTTTCAAAGTAATCTGTCATTGTCCTTTACCCATTTACTTTAATGAAAACCTTTGTAATGAATCAAACGTTTTTAACTATGAATAAACCCAAAGAATCCATCCTTTCACATTGTGAAGAAACAGTTGCACATAGGGAATCGTTGTACTATAAACTGTTGCTTATAAGTCCTGGGTTTATACATCTTATACCGTAAAATTGTGAAAATAAGCCCCGGGGCTTATATTTTTCAAAGGCCCTTTTGAAGGGGCTTATTTTTGGAGGGGCTTATCTACGGAGGGAAATTTGCATTTCAAAATCGGTATAGTTGGAAGTAAATTTCCCATTTTTGCTTTGTTTTCCTTTGTATTTGAGGGCAGTTTTCCAAGTACAAGCCCCCGGGGGGCTTATATTTGGAGAGGTGATTTAACGGAAGGTTTTTTGCGTTTACCTGTTTGGGGGGCTTATACATGGAGGGGCTTATTTTCGGAATTTTATGGTATCCTAGGGGGCTTGGAACTGGAAAAGAACAAGCACTTCAAAACAAGCTACATTTACAGTAGTACTGATCAAAATACATTTTTTTCCACTGGTTTTTAATTAAGTTTCAAAATTATCAAATTCATTTTAATACAAGTTAAAGGGGGGCTTCTGTCTGGGGGTGGGGGTGCAGGGGGGGGGGGTTGGAGCTTATAATCAAATGTGTTTTTTTGTTTACCGGGAGATGGGCATTATTTAACTGAGGGCTTATAAGAGGAGCGGCTTATAAGCGGCAGTTTACGATAATTTATGACTGTCTTTCGACTTTTAGGTTGGGAGAAGAATTCTTATGGCTATCATGGAGATGATGGTCACTCATTCTGTTCTTCTGGGAATGGAAAGCCTTATGGGCCTACCTTTACAACAGGAGATGTCATTGGCTGTGGTGTCAATCTCATTGACAACACTTGTTTTTACACAAAAAATGGAGTTAACCTTGGTAACTTTTGCATTTTGAGTTGTTTGGTAGACTTTACATGTAGTGATTTGTGTTTGCCATTTAATCTTCTTTGAAAGTGATAAAGTATTATAATAATATTATATGTTAATTTTTTTCTTCAGGAATAGCCTTCACAGATTTACCAGTAAGTTGCAAAATTCTGTGTCATTGTTTAGAACTAGTGTTATTTACTGAAGGGCCTGTCATCTTGTAATATGCACAGCTTAGGTTGCTATATGTCAGAGATGTTATTAAGTTTGAAGCAGGCATAACTTGTAAATTTCCACCCATAACAGCTTACAACTGTTTGTATTAGGCTTACAGTATACATAGTTTTTACACGTGTCTCAAAATATGAGCAAAGTTTGATTTCAGAAATTCTCATAAAGGGCTCTAGATACTTGATAAGATTCCTTGATTTCTTGTGAAGTTCCCTACATATCCCATAACATTATCTTCATATGTTGCATACTGTCAAGGCAAACTCAAAATTAAGATTATTGTTAATTCTCTATTAATTAAGCCCTCCTGCCAAATTATATTAGTCCCCATTTTGATAAGCCCCCTCCTTTTCAGGAAAAGAAAGTTTATAAGCTCCCCTTTCTTTTTAGCCCTCCCTTCCCCTTATTATTCTTCACAATGAAAAAAAAAAATAAATGATAGACTGTATTAGATAATCGGGACTGTGATACTTCATGTGGACTGATCCAGTATGGCTTATTCATGTGCCAGAAGATTGGGTTTGTTTTTGATCTTCAGGTGCATAACCTCAAACATTCTTGTTCTTAAGATTTTCCTTTTTGCAATCTTGTTCCTTATGGAGAACTGGTATTGTTGTCTTTGCTTAATTAAATCATTCCGCCCTCCGTGGGGCTTAATACAGAATTTACTATTATGACGTGATTTTCTATCTGGGATTCTAAGGCTGCTGTAGTGACTGCAGGAACTGTAGTGAAGTGATAATGTACTTGACTTTCGTTACAATTTCCATCTATAAGGAAAAGTTAAGCAGGCTTATTTATAAGTCAAGCCAATGCCTTCACTTAACTGCACTTTCCAAGTTATCCTATGCCTAAACAAACAAAAACCAAAGTACGTGTATGGTTAAAAAGTCCTAAATATGAAGAAATTATTTCTCCAATGGCAATGATAAAGCATATATACTAAGGCAGTCAGAAACAGCAGGATAATTTTTTCATTGCTTTTTAAAAGTTAAGTTGAATTTCAAGTTAAAAGCCAAACACCAGAGCCAACCTGATGGTTACACCCTCACCATCTTGAAATATTTAGACATAATTTTCCTCTCCCTGTTTATTTTTTGCACAGCCAAATTTGTACCCAACCGTTGGACTCCAAACTCCTGGTGAAGTAGTTGATGCCAACTTTGGGCAAAAGCCATTTATGTATGACATAGAGGAAGTGATGAAGGTGTGTGTGCAGAATTTTGACAGTGGAACTGGCTTTAAACAGACACTAAAGCTGGATATCCTGAAATGTCCATTGCAGTATCTGGGTATCTGTGATAAGCGGTTTCTTAAAATAATATAAACATTTTGTGCAGGTGACTGTGAAGCAGAGCTTGACTGTATTAAGTTTTTTAGTGTGTTAGTTAGATGTTATGGTGATTCAGTGTAGATTATTGTAATATTCAGAAACTGTCACTTCCCCATTTGATCTGGGACAGTTCACCAAGATCATCTTGAGAAAAAAGCAAACAACAACTTGAACATTTTTACCTTTTAAATTTGTTGCTTTTGCTTTTAGGAAGTCCATGCTAGAACAAGGCGTACAATACAAACATTTCCATTTACAGACAAAGAAGGACTATGGCAGACAACACTACAAAAGTAAATACTAATACTACTATAATAATGTTTTTGTTTTGATCTTTAAGCGTATGTTCATGAGCAAATTTCTCCTGTTGGTATCAGTGCTTTGTATAACAGGGTGGTCATTCATGAGAATTTAGGACATACTCAAAGAAGAATTTGCTTTTTAAAATATTTCAAAAACACCTCCCCTCTTTTTCTATAGAGAATCAATAGGGGCAACGAATGAGAATTTAAATTTCGATCTCAGGGTAAAAGATGTGATGATATACAGTGGAACCCTGCCTTTAATGTGAACATAATAATATATCATTCTTTTGCCAATAATCTTGGTCATTTTCTGTTCTAGAAAAACTGCATTAACAAGGTTTCTTTGTTCAGCCTTATTTCGTACAAAATTCTGGCTTATGTATTTTGGTGTTATTTTTCTTTCTATTTTGATTTGAGGTTGTTGTTATGTTGTAGGATTGTGTCAACATACTTGGTCCACCATGGTTACTGTGCTACTGCAGAGGCCTTTGCTAAGAGTACGGGGCAGTCTTTTACAGAGGAGATGGCATCCATCAAAAACAGACAAAGTGAGTCTTAATTTGAGTACAGAAAACAGATGCAAGAAATGATACATGTGCAGTGTTTATTTATTGCCCTTGAGCAATGTTTTTTACATTCACTCCTCCTCAAACAGGAGCTATGCTGCACATTTTGAAATACCTGACATGTGGTGCAGGCACTTTTTTCTGCAAGCAGTCACTGTATTTTTCCATGTATAGTTTAAATCTTTGTTTTTGGAAGCAGAGAAAGGATGGGAAAAATAGAAAGTATGATCAAAAGAAACATGTTCAAGTGCTTACATGTGTAACAGTGTTATGCCCACCCTCCCCCCTCCCCCAAAGTTAAGTGGAGACCAACTTACTGACTGAATAACTACAGTAGAAGCTCCTTCTACATAAATGGATGAAGGTTTTGTGAGGTGAAGGCATGTAATTTGTTGGTCTAGCCCTAAACTCTCTTAATTGCACACATCTCTGTAAGGCAGATATCTAGAATCTAGGCATTTTACACACAGTGTCTTTGTTGGATTTAGTTTATTGTTTATTATTTTATCTGTTTCATGCTGGTTGGATCTGTAATAGTAGTAATAATATTTGAAAATCTTTCCCTGTATTCAGATTATAAATTTCAGTCTTTCTCTTCCTTTTAGGAATACAAAAGCTTGTTCTTGCGGGCAGAATAGGAGAAGCAATTGAAACAACACAGACATTATACCCAGGACTCTTAGAACGGGATCCTAACTTGCTTTTTCTGCTAAAATGCCGACAATTTGTTGAAATGGTCAGTGGATGTGACAGTGATGTACGTCCGGCAGCACACAGTCCACGTTCAAGCCCTAATGTTAGTCCAACTCATTCATACAGTGCCACCTCAGTAGGAAGTGTTGGAAGCAGTTCATCTTCGGCTGCTAATGGATTTGTGAGTAATGGTACATGTATAGACAATGGATTTGACGCTGATAATATGCCAATGGAAGTAGAAGAGTTTGAAGAATCATCTAGTAATGGACTTTTAAATGGAACTGCAAAAATGGAAGAGAATGATTACAGTCCGAGTAGAGGTATTTGACCATAAATTTATCACTTAAATCAGTTTGTTTAAATTAGACAGTAGAACGCAAAGGGCTTGAAGCCTGAGTATCAAGATCACCAAAACTCAGTGAACATCATCAAACAATGTCTAAATAATACTCTAAGATCCTAGTGTAAAAACCACGATCCAACTGGGTTTCATCTGCAGTAAATTAAATGAAGACCTGAAGGTGCGAGAAATCAAACCTACTAATGTTGATCTAGAATGTGTACATTATACGTTTCAATGTAACCTTTTTTATACAGGACATGTGGGTTATACTTGGCGCTACCTACATGTATGCAAGGATGGTCACAAAGAGATTTTTTTGATTGTACATTTTGTTTATGAGACTGCAATCTTTTGGATTCAATTTGTTTGGTTCTAAGTCAGAAACACTACCAAAAACAATTTCTCATCATGCGGTCTTTTGTTTGTTCTTCCCTGTTGCAGTGGAATCAAGGCAAACTTGCTGTCACAACAGAACCGTACTAGAAAAGATATTGACATTTGGGAGAGAACTACAAAATATGAGTATCCAACTTAGAAGAGAACACGGCAAAAATGAAACAAATAAAAAGGCTCTTCAGGCAAGTATTTATGCTGGAGATGTTTAAGTCATGTGAGACGTGAATTTGCATGTAAGTCGTCTTTTGTCGTCTAGTGTAAAAACAGTAAAAAGGACAGTTACATTTAACATCTGATGACAGGAACATCTTCTGTTGACTTGAACGTCCAGTATTAAAATGGGAGCCATTAACTGGGACCCATTTGTGCCTTACTCATCCAGAAATGATCAGGAAGAGTCATGATGTCTTTTAATCAGAAAACTCTGCTTTTATTTGATACTTTGTCTGACTATTGTGTGTCCTGTTCAAGTCAACTTTTCTAACATTACTGTCTACCATCAAAACGGCGACCGTTAAGTGCTTCATTGGATATCCAGATGCTGAGATCTGAAGTGCATTGAATAATAGGAATACTGATCAGTATCAAACAGTTAATGATTTTTTTCATTCAGGGTGAAGTATGACCCAGTATATTTCTCAAAATATAATAGCAGTTATTCCATCAAACTTTTTATCTGTTGTTAATGATGTGAGTTGTTTTGAATTGAAATTCTAGGAGGCTTTTAGTCTACTTGCATACACTGATCCTTGGAGTAGTCCTGTTGGCTATCTTTTAGATCCTGTTCAAAGGGAACCAATATGCTCTTCTTTAAATAGTGCTATTTTAGGTAAGTGAGAAAAACCTTGCAAATCTGTCACCTGAAAGTAGTAATTAAGAGATAGTTATTGGTGTGAGTTATGTTGCACATCAGTAACTGATCAGCAGCAAGGATGGGGAAACAGACAATGGAATGGAATTGAGAATCCTCATGTTCACTTAATATTATTTTATTTGATTTTAGTTGCCTATAGTTCAAGTAAAGACTTGCATTAATGTTTTTAAATCCCTCAATTTGTGACCCTATTTGGGAAAAGCGGGCTTAACGAAAATTGCGTTGAGCTGTTTTTTATCGCAACGCATTTGGAAACGTTGGAATGCATTGGCGAACGTTCTTAATGCATTTGAAAGCGTTGGCAATGTTCTCCAACGGAACTAAGAAACGTTCAGTATCGTTTCAAAATCATTTCAAAACATTTGGAAAACGTTTTCGAACGTTGAAAATGCATTAAAATGGAACATCATTAATTCGTTGCAACGGGAAACATTCCCCAAACATTCTAACATTGTCAACGACTGAGTTACAAAAGCTCCGAACTGTCAGGCATCTCCTCGCTCCATCATTCGACAATTTAAAGCCACGGTCATAAATAAAGTGATAAAACGTTTAAAACTTCACAGCGTGAGAAATGTTCGATCCGAGGAATCAATAATTTGTTCCATTTTCAGTTTTAAGTCTGTGTTATTAAAGAGGGCAAAAAAGAGGGGAATTAAATTTGAAAGCACGCGTTGTCGAAAGTGTTATAGGTCTGAATTTATTTTATGCTGTTCTTTCAGTGTTACGGCGGTGTGCGTGCTTGTGACTACCTTGTTTGATAGCTCCCTGTAAAATTAACAGATATCAGATGCTTGATATGGGTCGCTGATTTTAAGACTAACATATACCAAATTTCTACCGGGGGAGTCCTACTATTTACCGACTTTTCCTTCTTCCCGTGTTTCCCGTTTTTTTTGCTCGGGGATTCAACAAATTCAACCAGTTCAGTCACGGAACGCCCTGGCAAACGCTAGACATTGTATCCTTCAAAAGCGAAAACCTGAAAACGTGACATTCTTCACAAAAAATTCATGGTTTTTATCTGTACCAGTCAGCTGTTATGAAGATGTCAAAATTTATGATCACGAATATTTTCTGATCAAAGCTTGTTGCGTGACACTACCGTCATCACGGCTCAAGGGTTCGGAAAGGTCAACGCGGTAATGTTTTCCGTATTACTGTTTTGATTTTTATGGTGTTTTTTTCTCACTGATTCTTCAATGGACTGCATGGCTCGCATGACTCGCTGGCTCTCATTTCATACACATACAGCACACTTTTTGGCAGATTTCTTTGCCATCTTCGCTCGATTAACGTTGTCAAGCAAGCGCGCAATGTGGTCGTCGCTTTTAATCTCTAAAATCTTCTGCTTGCGATCGTCGCGACTTCAATTTCGTCGGAATTACTGAAGTACTATTTTTCTCACCTTTGGTCTCGCTCTCTCCCAATTTTTTCGTCTTGTATCTTTTCCCCGAGGGATTTTGGAGCCGGAACGGATTAATTTTGAAAGGGATGTGAGAATTAACCGACTGCAAGCAGTCTAGCACGCCGCTGACGAAGGTAGAAAAGGGCAAATAATTGGCAACCCCAAAATTCTGTCAGCCAGTTACGTACAAAAAGAAATGCACGACCTCAACAGTCAGCCTTACAGTTTTAAGAAACTTCTCAAAAACTTGTCTCCTTTATTTCCAGATTTGAAAGTCCAAGAAAGTAATTTCATGCTTTTCTCAATTACCTCTTGACATGTTACAACCTGAAACAACATCAAACACACGCAATGTCACAAAGATCAAAGTTCTATGCAAATTGATTTGAACCGATCGAGAACAAAAAGTAAAAGCCTTTGTTTTCCATTGCGAATTCATGTCGTTATTACCGTTGATATTACTGTTATATGAAGGTATCATTACTGTTCCTAAAAAAAAGTTGTATTTTCAAAGAACGTTCTCAAGCATATCGATGTCTAATCATCAGTGGCTTCAATTAATGATAATTTTTCGCATCCTGGGTTGAACTTCAGGAACTAATTTTATCGCTAAAAAAAAACGTTTGGAAGCATTGCCAATGCATTGAACAACGTTGGAAAAACATTCTAAAACGTTGTTAAAACGTTGAAAACAATTGCGTGCGTTTGAAGGAAAACGTTGTAAATGCGTTGAGAATGAATCATTGGAATCCGTTTCAATGCATTGTAACGCATTCAAAATGCGTTGAAATGCTTTTCAACGCAAATTTCATTAAGCCCGGTTTTCCCAAATAGGGTCACATTTGTGGAATTGTGACATTTTGAGCTGGTGTAACAAACTGAGGTTAAACCCATTTTCTCTGTAGCTTAGTTGCAACATTCATTTTGCTCCAGCGTTAGTTTAGTTCATGGCTTTAGAAATGAAATTCTTTACACTAAGAATGCTCCCTTGGTAGATTATTCAGCTTAGATGAAACCAAGCTTTACTTTCAACATGGGTCAATAACCCTTTTAAGGTGTTTCTAGGGAACTTCCTTGGATTGCAAGTGACTAATCTAACCCCATGTTTGTAGCTATCCAGTGTGCTCCTATTTCATTTGCATTTTTCTGTGCTTTTTTTCTTGTACGTTTTCTTCTAATGTATTTTTCTTTTTTGTGCCCTTAGATTCTCATCAACTGCCAAGGAAACCTCCCCTGGATTTAATATTGGGACAGGCTCAGGAATGTTTAAAACTCATGTCAAAATGTGGTCTAGGAGCATGTGCATTTGCCAGCGTAGAAGAATACATGTAACATGTCTGGAGTGATAAAAGATTTATTACATGGCTGCTTTGAGATATGAAATTTCTCTTCGAGTGTTAAAAATGAGTGAAATATATTTGAATACATGGAGAGAAATTTCATGTCTCAAAGCAGCCATGTAATGTTCTATTATTTTTTTTTATATAAACACCAATGAAATACCAAACCATTTCACTTTACAGTCAGGCCAGGACAAGCGACATTCCAAGATTTCATTAATGAATATGTTATTCAAAAGTTGAATCTGTTAGTCATTGCTGTAATGAGTATGAAGTTGAAATCTACATTTGTGTTGGGTCAGATTGAAATAACTTTGAATGGACAAAATTGCTTCCAAGACATTTACATCTAATTATATAATTATTAGAAAACTGAACTGGTAGAAATTTCATAACTGACTTTCTTGTGAATTATTTACTGCTTATCAACGGCATACAGGAATGCAGAGATGAATCTGACATCTACAACTGCAAATGGATTCAACTTTCAAATGATAAATTCATTAATGAAATCTTGGGGGGTAAGCTTGGCGTGGCTTGACTTTTTTGCTGCAAAAGGCGTGATTTATTGTGCAGCCAAAACAACTGTGATCTTAAATACCTGGCTGGTATCTCATTTGTGGTTATATGATAATATGGTTAGTTGTTGAAAATTCATTACAGCACTTCTTTAACCCATTCGCTCCTGGAGATTTTGCCGAAAAACATGTTTTGAAGCTAGTCGAGTGGTTTTTTGGTCACTGTCGTGCTATAAAGAGCTAAAACTTACCACAAACCAGTTTACAGGTCGTACACTTCGCTGCCTTCTGATCCAGATGCAAAATATCAGCTTGCGAAGTTTGGGCATGTGCAGAAAGCAAAATTTCGAGATAGTTTTTGGGTTTAAAAGTGATACAGCAGTCTTGACTTTTACTTTTCACTTTCTCTCCTCCCCTCTTTTTTTTCGCTTTTCTTGCCTCATTTTTTTTTTCTCTTGCTGGGCATTTAGTAGGCTTCGTTTTGGTGGGAAGAGTTTTTAGGAAAGCTTTTAGGATCTTAGGATTAGGTGAAAGGAAAGGTAGGTGAGCAATGGAACAAGATTTTCATGGAGATTTTCAGGTCAATGTCACATGGTTTTTTGCTTCTTTCTCCGGTGTCCTTGACTGAATTGTGCTCATTCTGGTATGGTTTGAAAGATCTCTTCACTCTGCACAAGTTAGTGGACAAAGTTGTCCTTGACCGTTAAAACTGGTGACATCACAAAGGGTAGAAAGGACGTGGATCAGCACGGGCGGTTACGGGCGGTTCAGGGGCGAATGGGTTAAACTTCATAAAAATAAAGCATGTAATATATTACCAGTATTATTGTAAATTGGGGATTGTAAAGTGGGCCACCCCCTCTTTAACAATGGACACTTTCCAAAAATGGCCAGCAAGAGATTGGCTCTCCTTTTCTTAAGCCACTATCCTTCACTCTTTCATGGTGTAGATGCTGGCATGATACCCCCAAACAAGAGAATCTGCTTGGGGACTTTTGGTAATTATTTTGTTTTGTTCTCATTTCTCTGGGTATGAAGTTCATAGTTTATCACCTTAGCCTTCGTTCTTGCAGATTGTCTCAACAACCCACAACTGTAACACAGGAAAGAATAACGGATTCCCATTTTTGGATATTTTAGGGTATTTAAAGAATGCCCATAAAAATCCCAAATTTGGCAAAGTGAGACAAGTCCCAACCAGGGAATTCCCAACCAAGTTCCCTGATTGGGACTTGTCTCACTGGGAATCCGTTATTTTTTCCTGTGTAAAGTTTTCTTCAGTCATTGTTGGGATTGAAACACAACAGTCCTCCTTACTAATGACTGTGAAGGAAAACTAAGGCTATGTTGACACTATAGCAGAAAGCTTTTGCTCCAACACGAAAATTATACCGGATAGGGCTTGTGTTCACACACAAGAACGTTTGTGGTGGCGTGATTTCTGTGACAGAGTGAAGCTGTGCTGTGCTGTGCTGATTTCAAAATAGGTTTTGTGCCATACAATGGTGTGATGTGAACACTTACCAGTATTCTGCTGGTTGTGGAAGAAAATAAGTAGGAGAGAGGACTGGAAACCACTGAGACAAAAGTAAAAATTCAGGAGCAAGGACTGTAATTTAGTGTACCAAACCCTCTCAGCCAACCGTGCTGGGACAGTGTTTGATGTGTGTGAACTACTTGTGCCGCCCTGGGCTGTTGCTGTTCACGCCATGCCAGATAGCTTTTTGTGGCACCATGAGAAGCCACCCAGTATAGTCTGAACATAGCCTAATATTGCTGTACACAGATAAGAGGTTGTGGTTTAGCACCATTCATCGTTTGTAAAAGTGCGTTGCAGTCAGCCCACATATTGTCTAAACTATTGGTATAGTCCATACAGTCAGAAAGTGTAGTGTCTGCAATGCAATGCTATGTTTATTGAAGTTTCTATTAAAGTGTAAGGGCTTGGTTTATTTTTCATATTGTACATGAACAGTGTAAATAAAGTTAACTATTTACTGATTTCTTGTTTTCTGTACTAGAAGTGTCAGTTAACTTTGTCACTTGCAGCCCTTTAATTCTAATGTGGTTTCTTTGAAAGTTAGCTGTTGACCAATCCACATCTGGGATGTGTCGCTATAGTGTATAATTCAAAGTCGGAATTCTGACTTGTTTATAAGCATTTACCCTCATCCCAGTACATTGATCCTCAGTTATCTTCATTCACCTTCAGGCTAATGGAGGTGGATGAAGGTGAATGAAGGCTAGTGGATGTGGATGCAATGGAGAACCTTTTTTAGCTTTAGGGGTGCATTCGATTGATGGTATTTGGAAGAATACACAAAAGCTATTGTTACAAATCTCTTGTACTATGATTTTAGGACCACATAAACTCAAGAACCTGCAAACTCAGACATATTTCTGGCCCAAAAAGTTGGGTAGAGAGCAGGAGCGATGAATGGAAATTGTATGTACACCAATCTGCGTTTGCAGCCTATTAGGATTCTAGATGTTGAAACGCATTAAACCAGATTAAATGCAGGGTTGCCACTGTCAGGGAAAATCTTTGATATTGTCAAAGTCAGTGAAAAGTCAGGGAATTCAGTTTTCCGGTTTATAGTTCATAAGTTTTCTTCAAGACTTTGAAATGCATTTTCTTTTGGAAAAGATGAAAAGTATGCTGCAAAGCAAGCAAAGCGATCAATTTGACACTTACCACCGTTTTCGTTGATACGCGACTTTCGAAAACAAAACACCCGCGGAAACGTTTCCAAAATTTCCGTCAATCATGCATGTTATCGACAGATCGGATCGAAATCCACCAATCACAGCCCGCTAGCATGACGTGAAGAAGGTCAGAAGGTCACACTAGTGGTTGTGATTGGTGGATTTCGATCGGATCTGTCAATAACATGCATGATTGACGGAAATTTTGGAAACGTTTCCGCGGGTGTTTTGTTTTCGAAAGTCGCATATCAAGGAAAACGGTGGTAATTGTGCCCAACACATGTAGTAGTTGTGGTCAGTGGTTTTGTTGTGAATGCTTTCTTCCAAATTCCTTCTTTCTCTTTCTGCGAAAAGAGGTTTAAAATAAAGGGGAAAATATTGATGGCCTGCAAAAAGAGCTAAAGTGAATGTTAACATAGATTGATATTCAGTAAAAAAAGGTTCAAAGTCAGGGAATTTTTACGTTTCTGATCAGTGGCAGGCCTGAAATGCCAAAATAAATGATTTTTTTTTCATTTTAAGTGCCTGTTATAAATTATTTATAAAAGGAGTTTTAAGCCCTGTGATACTTAAGCAAATATTTCAGTTTGAAAATTTTGAAATTTACAAGGATTTGTATGGACATCCACTCAAGCCTGACAGGGTGACAGAAGTTGTTTTTCTCATGCATACAAGTTTTCAATTTTCGACAACTGTTGCAATCTCTACTTTTGAGATATTTCATAAATGGCTGAAAATTTACAGGTTGCCTAATTTTAATATGCTCTTTCAGCTCGTGCTAACAAAATTTTTCAAAAGCAAACTGTCTTCGTGTTTACTGAAAGTTGATCACATGATCAAATTAGATTAATTCAGTTCAGGTTTATAAAAGTTTATTAAATTTTATAAAACAACTGACTAGGGTATCAAATTTTAAAAATTCCAAAGGCCTATTATTCTGATTTCAGAATACAGTCAATCAAACAAGCTCATGATAGGACAGACACAGTACTTGCTCAATATTATATGTGCCTTTACAACCAAGCCATTTTAGAAAAATAGTCTACATGGTGGTCCAATGATGTGGGGAAGGTAGGGGAAGTCAGGGGTGAGATGCTCGCAGGCTATGGTATCTTTTCCATGGCATAGCTGATGCCTTGGTTAAACAATCAAAAATGTTGTCAAGTATCTTAGGGTTGATGAGCAATGGCTCAATGGCCTCACCTGATGCAATAGACTGTTTTTGCACAACTGCAGTAATGCAGTATTGACAAAAATTTGTAATAGTATGATTGTACACAAAGTTCGATGAAAATGTTTAGAATATAAGAGAAAAATTCCAATTACATTAAACCATTAGATTGCTTAATAAACGAGAGAGAGAAGCCAGAAACAGCCAATACTCAAAGTCTGCTTTTCAAGTGGACTGTTGATTGTTTTAATAATATTGTTACCGCTATCTGCACTTAAAATTAAAGCTACACATTAAATGAAACAATGCAAGACTGTACAAAATCTAACTTAACTAAAATATCATCTTGAAGTGTCATTTGAAGTTTGATTAATTGTTGGCCGTCACTTCTTTCGTGCTCTTTTTCCTTCAAATGCCTCTAATGCTTCCTTGTATTCTGAAATGTAAGGCAAACACTAGTCTGAGAAAACAGCTGAAATTTTATAAACCACCACTTGTTTCCCTGCCAAAAACTTGAAAAAGACAATTCTGAGAAATGACTGTAGAAATTCTAAAGTGATGATGTGTCACTATAACCCAGATCTGGGGGTTGCCTTCTGATTGGCTTCATCCAATCAGAAGCACAGTCATGCAGTACTTATGGGTGACAGAAGCTGCCACTGCCCCCGTGGTCTCAGAGTCCAGCCATAGTTAATTTTATAATGTTCAATATACTTGGCTTTTATTGCCCAATGTCCAGCAACTCAACAGGAAAGAAGGTTGAGTTTAGGTGATAACTATGTTGTAAATTGTGCACATGTATTGTAACTAATTAATTGAGTACTTTATTTACCTTCACTATTCCACAATCTTGCAGCTTCAGCATTGAGAGGGCTTTTGTTATTTGGATCTACATTGTAGAAATTGATTATTTTATTTAAAATTCAAATTTTTATTTTCATTATAAATTCAGCATGAAGTTGTCAAAAATATCCAGTTACAACAGTCATATTTCTATATATGAAAATTGTGATGTATACACTGTAATTTCCCCTGCAGCCTGTCAATTCAACTGTCTGTCCTTCCTTGCCGATAGGGACATTTCACAGGAGAGACATCCACACACCTCAACACCAGAATTTATTCTAAACTGATGACGTAAAATCTGTTCGGAAACTGGTCAGCAACTCTTATTGGTCAAACTGGCAAGTCTAAATACTATTGCTGTAAATTCTAGCTATTGTCTATAAAATAATGCATTAAGGACAAGACAAAAGTTCCCAAAGTTCAAAAGTCAGCATGATGAATCTAATACAAAACAGACATTATTCATGGAATAAACTCAAAACATTACCATAATAGACCAGGAGAAACATAAACTCTAAGAAATTTACATTAGGAACACCTACGTTACTAGCTGCTACTCTCACATGAGTTATCAATGGTAAACACTGATTTACATCACCAGTATGGAATTGCCTGTTGTTGAGATGCAGATGCCTCCCCTTCAATGCATCCCTGGGGGTTGAGGAGGAGACAGCTTCATTCACAGGCTAGAAGTTTATAAACTTTTCATATGAATTTCCTGGGGGAGGGCCATTCTACAAAATCCTTAATCATCTGATGTTGTTTTTCTTTCAGGACTTGTATTTGTCACAATTTGTTCTCCCAGATTACTGGTGGACGAAGGGCATAGACAACTAGAAAAAGCCAAGCTCACCTGCTAGTAATGATTGTATTGAATGTAATATGGTTCTGACGCCATATGTTGATGACCAATTTTCCTAAGAAAAATAAACAAATAAAAATTGTTTTAAATAATTCAGATTTTATTTGAAAGGCACCGATGATCCTGGTACTGCGCAGGTAAATAAATTAACATTAAACATGCCCAAAAATAATTTATTTTTAGAACTGTCTTGTAACAAGTAGTGCTAACAGAATGAATATAGCAAATACCTTTAAAATGTCTAAACAGATGGTGCCTTCCTGATCAACATTTGGATGGAAGCAGGGCGTGGTGAACTTAACCAATGGTGGCTTATGAGGATACGTGCTTGGAAATTGTAATGATAGTTTGTATTCTTTTCCCTCGTATACCTATAATATTGATAACAGACATCAGAATATCATTTAGACCTCTATGCAGTATCAAGCCGGATATAACTGGCTCCTTACAGTGTACACTGTAAAATGTTGTATAAATTTGTACACAAGCTTACTTTCTACGTGTATGCCTAAGGAGTGAAAGCATTTCTTCAATTCCCTAATGAGCCTTTGTATCAACGTTAAGATTATTTTTATGTACTGAGGAAGCCTAAATTTCTGACCAGTATTGTTCATTTGTCGACCTTGAACATTTACCGGCAAACTGTTGAAGGAACAAATATTAAAAAGTTGTTGGGAGAAATACTATGAAAGTTTTTACCGTTCCCTCTCCACCACGGATTGTACCGATCCACTCCATCGTGTTTTCTAGTCTGGGACACGCTGACACAACACTGTTTTTCTGAAAACAACCAAATTGAAAGGGTAAAATTTCCACCTCAAAAAGTTGAGTAAACTGAAGGAATATATCCTCAAAAGTATAGTTTCTCATACTTTTCTATTACGAGCTTCAAAATTTTCGAGTCAGTATTAAGATTAAGTCACAATGAAAGACAGCAAATCTAACATTTGCACTTAAATTTCTCCTACCGTCGTGTCCCTTGTGAGCTCGCGGAAATCTGCCATTAACCTGCAAAGGATGCGAATAAACTCTGTAAAAAATTGCGTTAAGGGAAACAGATAAACTTTGAAAACGACGACAGCTTGTATTTGGCTTTGTACCTTTTAAAACACTCTGTTCCACCGGCCATAATTTCTATTGAAAATCGCAAAAAATTCAACCTTCAAACTCGATTCTTGTCGCGAAATGGAACGTAAGGAAATGAATGGCAAGTTTTTTAAACCGGCATTTATTTGAATAGACCAATCAGGTAATAGAATAGATATTTAGTTCCCAGTTCCCTAGTGTCCTCTCCCACAGATCTGTGCGACCTGATAAGCCGCCATATTGGATTTCACTTCTAGCCTTCTTTACCGTACACCGTCGAAAATGCCCTACGCAAACCAACCTAGTGTCAAAATTCTTGAGCTAACAGAGGAAAATGTGAAGTTTGTTATCGAGAACACAGATCTAAGGTATGCTGTAGTCGATTAATTGGCCGATCGTTAACTGATTCGAGAATAAGATTATTGATTGATGTTTGATCGATAAACTTGCAGTATGGCCAATGGCGTCCGAAGGATATTTATAGCGGAAACTCCAACGATAGGTATGTTTGAACATTTTATGGAAATCTAGGTGGAGATACACAACATACATATTTTATGTCTATACGTACTGCGGGAAAGCTAGCAGACTCATGTCGAACCACAGGTTCCCCAAGCTGAAGATTGAAAAAAGGCAGTTGGGATGACAGCATTTTCGTGGTTAAAAGTTTAGAACAAAAACGGCCAATCTGCTATGCAGCTTATCTTACTCAATGGAAAACAGGCAGGTTGTGTCCCCATTTGTGTCCCCAGTTGATTTTCTGAGATACCAGTATTCCAATTGATTTTTGAAAACGTACATCATGTCCGAAGAAAGAACAAGTGAATGTCAATTCAATAATCCAAAAATCAAAAAGGTATTGCATTCATTTTACATGTACTATTTTTTTGAAATTGTGTCCAGCAAGACGACAACAACTGGAACCCTGTTGATGCGACCACCAATGGGCCATAAAATTCTGGGTGTAATAACGAGGTGGTCACATTTTTTTAATAACAGGGTCTTCAAATTAATAAAATGACTCAGTGATTTTACGTTTGGGTCAAATAGAGTATACTCACTTGACGTCACAGTGGCTGTGTTGGTGTTCCAAAACAATGATACGGCAGCCATGTTGTTGTTCAAAGACAACTCTGTGGGAATTGAACTCTTCTCTTATGTAAAACTTTCTTTTGTTCATATAAATTAGCATAGATGAATGCCACGTGAGTGAATACGCTCTATATGGTTGCAATAACGAGGTGATGGTATAAACAGGGTGGTCATAAGGTAGGGTTTTACCTCGTTCTTTAAGCCATGAGGTGAAATATTGCACTATGAAAGTAAAACACTTTGTTCTTAAAGCCACCAAACAGGTGCTACACTTGCAATGTAAAAATTTTGCTGTTGGAATGTAGCAGTAGAATTCCCCGCTTCTGATTCAGCAGAAAAATGTCGATTTATGGAATGCAAAGGCCTGTATGTATCTTTCTATTGGTTCAGCGCTTAATGACCAAATTTTTAAGCACCAAGTGCAATCTCACATAAAACAACATCTTGATTTATTCACTGACAATGTTAAATATACACAGTTCTTTTTGCATGACCTATAAGGTGATTACTCCACCACCTTTTCCGCTCCAGGTTGTATGAAAAAAGCAGTTTATCACACCCCTCCCAAACTTTCACGGTGGATGAATACACCGAACTTCTTGCAGTCTTGTAGAGCGTGCCTGTCACTAACATTCTGAGTTTCCTGGTATTTTATGCAGCTAGTAGGTTGGAAACTAAATGGCTAAAAAGTTTTGTTTGCCTTATTTTCCTTTTTTTCCTTCTCAAAGTAGCCGGGGGGGGGGGGGTCGTGCTCATAGCCAGGGGAAATCCCTGACTCCTGGCCCTTTAGTGACAGCCCTGTAGACTATTTTGACAACCTTGGTATAGTTGATAAGCTTACATTAATATTTTGCCTTTATTAGCTATCGATTGGGTGCAGATTGAGAACAATACGTCAGTACTGCATGATGAGTTTATTGCCCACAGATTAGGTAAGCAAAAACTAGGTGTTAGTTAATTTACCTGTACCGTATTTCCTTTATTAAGCCCCCCAGGGGCTTATTTATTTCAAGCCCATTTGAGGGGAGGGGGGGGGACTTAATAGAGACAGAGGGCTTATTTGAGAGGGGGGGACTTATTTAATTTAGCAAAGATTATGGTATCTGTTCAGGGCTGTAATTAAGTTTTGAAGCAGCGGTAGCAAACAGAGAATCATCCGTAGCATTTCACATAAAATTCATAGTGTTTTTATAGTTACCTTTCCACTTAGATTGCCCGTCACATAAAGTGAGCTCAGCTGTAACAGGTGTTATGGGTCATGGCTCTTAATGAGAGCTCTGTCAGTTCACCTGAAAGGACTAGAATGCAAAGTGGAAAAGCTCATTTACAACAAGTAGGAGGTCATGCAGGCAAGGATCAAAAACAAATTCAAACTTCCAGGTGGTGAATAAACCATCCTGGATCTGTCCACATGAAGTTTTACAGTTGTGATTGATTAATGCAGTCTATCATTTTATTATTAGTGAGTATTAATAAAGGGGAGGGATAGTGGGGGGAGGGGTTTTAAAGAGAGGGAGGCTCATTAACTTTTTTGCCCTGAAAAGGGAGGGCTTATTTGAGAAGTGGGGGGCGGGCTTAATGGAGGATTTACGGTATGTAAAAGATGTACAAGCTAAAACTTAAAGAAGTCAGGCGTATTTTAATTATTAACAGTACAGACTACTTTAGCTCATATCATTTTTGCTCAATGGAATTCATTCTAGTCAAGGGCTGTTATCCGGTTGCATAGAAGGAACTTAATTTCTGAGCCTCCCTTTTGGTCAACCCCAGGCTAGATTCAGAACATTTGAAATCAATGTGGTTGCCTATATAACCGGTACTGATGCCTGTGGATCGCACACTGCTTGCAGACCAATTTCTCAGGCCTGGTTGAAAAATTTGAGCTATTGAGCTCAAACAGCTACCCTTATCTGATGTATGTTTCCCATGATATTACAAGGAAAATAATGTGAAGTAATGGGAGAAATGAATGCTCCGACAATTTGAAGGGTCATTCTTTCTTCCAGTGTTTTATTATTTTTTAGAATGCCTTATACAGTATGACCTTCTCTTGCAAACTTAATTCAGAGCTTACCATCAGTTAGAAATCTTATAAATTCATTTTTATTTTCACATTGTAATTCAATCCACATTTATATCACACTCACTGGTGGGTTCTGTAATAGTTACTGACAATGGATGTTGCTGATCAATCCAAAACTTGTCTAATTAACAAGGGTATGATAACTTTTCTAAAAGATTATTGAAAATTGTTGACTGTGTGTACTTTCACATACATCATAGGTCTCATTCCATTGACAAGTGACGAGGTGGTTGATCGCTTGTGTTATTCCAGAGTAAGTTGTATAAGTGTCTGTTGTACATAAATGTATGTGTCCATATGCATGCAGTCAATTAGAATAACAGCAAGTTATTGTTATCTGGTTCTGAACCCCCCATTGGTTCATGCATTCAAAAGACTGAGGCTCATCAGTGGCTCCTTTTTTTCTTTTGGATAATGATCTTTTGTACTTGTATGTATGTACATTGACAATGTACACTGTAAATAGTATATCTGAATATGAGCTAATTCTAGAATGTTTCTCCTACACTGTACCTGTGACATCACTATCAAGTACCAAATGAAAATCAGCCCTGGAAGCCAAGTGCAAAAAAAGGTTTTATTTACCTCTTTCATAATAGTGGCCTATCAATAATTAATATATTCTTTTATAGTCTTGAATGTCAAGGGGGTCTATTTCAAATGATAATTAGCCTTTCTGACCTCGTTTGGATATTTTAGGGTATTTAAAGAATACCCACAAAAATCCCAAATTTGGAAGAGTGAGACAAGTCCCAATCAGGGAACTTGGTTGGGAATTCCCTGGTTGGGACTTGTCTCACTTTGCCAAATTTGGGATTTTTATGGGTATTCTTTAAATACCCTAAAATATCCAAAAATGGGAATCTGTTATTTTTTCCTGTGAGCAAGGTCAGAAAGCTAATTATCATACATATGAAAGAATATATTAATCGGCCACTATTATGAAAGAGGTTTATTAAGACTTTCTTACTTTTAAAAAGAAAAATGCCAATGTGCGATAATTTTTTTAAAGTTTATCTTATTTTTGAGTTTACTGAAAAACATGATGAAAGAAGGCAAGATGTGCCTGATTTTTCTGACTCTAACTCTGATTAATATACAGTAATGCAAGCCTGTTCTCGGACAAAAAATAAAAACTTTAGGAAACTCTAAATCTCTAAACCTGCATACGTGTATGAGTCCAAGAGGTAACCCTGAGCTCCTTTTCTCCCCTCCTTTTCTTTCCCCCGAAGGACTGCACATGTGATGAATTTTGTCCAGACTGTTCTGTGGAACTCACCCTTGATGTCAAATGTACAGATGATCAAACAAGACATGTCACAACGCAAGATCTTATTTCATCAGATCCAAGGGTGATACCGGTATGTAACAGAGTATAGAGGGCTTAGCTTAATACATTTTAGATCCCATTTCTCATTACCTTTTCCTGTACAAATAGGCTTTAAGATATTAACATGTACATGTACTTTTCCCTGTACGTCTACACGTAGTTTAACAGTAACCCTTTGATGATGACCTGGGGCACAAAACAAAGATCTAAGGTAGACACCATGATGGGCCCACCAAAAAAATATTATGCATGGAAAAACAAATTGAAATACATGTGTCCCTAAAACTTTGTGAAGCCATTAAGCCACACAAATGCAGCAACCATCAATAAAAGTGTGGTTTGCGAGAAATTTGTGGTGCTGCAGCACCCCAGACGAATGAAGGCGTCTTCACTTTTGGCCAACTAGGTTCGTTTCAAGAGTTTGCAGTGTTACAAATATCTCCAATTCTTCCTTCCTAAATTGCCATGCTTTGGGACAAATGTAGGACAACTATTAAATAGTTTGGTGGCCGATTGGTATCAGCCAACCCCCATTAAAAAATCCTGGATGTGTACCTGACCACCATATACTGTATGACAGGCACAAGGGCAGACCTTATGGAAGATTGTGGAAAAATACTTGTATTAGCAAATGATAGGGAGTTCACTAAAGTCACAATCTCCAGCAAAGGTCTACAATACAATAATTTCATTCTCTTCATTGAATTGGCATAGAATACTTTAATATGCTGACATTGGTTTTGACAAGGAATTATATTAAAATGGTTATTTTTTTATAATTAACATGTTGTGGCTAATATACACAAGCTCTGATGACAGGAATAATAATATTATGGGCTAAATAAACATCAATCATCATCATCATCGTCATCTGCTTTACTTTACCAACTAGGTAACTTCACGAAACCATGAAGATGAAAACAGTGAATATGGTGAACAGGATGGTAGGTTTCAATGTGTAGGTGCCTCTTTTCATTGACAGTTTGATTTCGTTCATTTTCATCTGTTAAGCGACAGTACAGCTCATACTTACTGCTCAATGGCTTTCATCTCGTGTTTGCTTGTTTTTAACTTCTTTGTTGCACTCTCTAACTTACTTATTATTATTATTTTTTTTTTGCAGACATCTTGATTGTAAAGCTTCGTAAGAATCAGGTATTATTATTTGACCTGTACCATTATTATACACCACACAAGGTGAATAACTAGGGGTTGTGTTGGGAAGTTGCTGATATTTCATAATCAGTCATTGGAAATAATCGGATTGACCCACCCAATCTTTCTTCGATTATAATTGGAACAATTTCTTTAGGACACAACAAAAACATACAAAATGCATCAGAAAAGGGACTTCAGTGGATTAGACACTGCTCATCATACAGCTCCAGTAGCTCACTGGTTAATAGAGCATCCAGGTCAAGAGTTCAATTCTTGTCTTGTCAGAATTGTTTTCTGTGCTTTCAGGTGATCAAATTCTCTTTCTTCTTTAATGAAAAATTAAAAAGACAACACTTTAGTTTTTAATCAGCCTGTGAATAGGCTCTCAAGTGGAGTGGGGTCAAAAAAGTAGGAAAATCAGTGAGGGAAACGTTATTTTTATTTCATGTCAGGTCCAACAATGTCTTGAACATTCTCCATAATTGGTCATCACATGGCTTAAGGAAGCCCCTTTTTCCTCTCTTTTGACTGGCTCAATCTTTTATCAGCCAGCTGTCTTTTTTCTTAGCTACAACCCCATACAAAAGAAATCGTCATACAGTGTACTGTCGTTGCCATTCCATGACTTGTATGGGCTGATTCATGGGCTACTTGCAATTCCCCTTATGGCTCCATGTTTGTTTTATTCAACAAAAAATAAATCATCATTTCAGTCAACACTACTCCTACTTCCCTCATTAGTGAGTACCATTAGTAAGCCAGGCCCAAGATGATTTTTTCAGTTTTCTCGCATTATTTATCTTTTCTACAGGAGCTCAAGCTTCGGGCCTTTGCAAAAAAGGTAAGAGTATCATGTCTTCCATTCCTGATCCTTGACTGACACTGTAGTTTTAGTTATCATACATACTCTAATAGGTCCCGCCCCTGATGAAGCACCGCCCCAAAAAAAGCGCCACATTTGGGACAAAAAAGTTGATAAGGACCACCTCCCCCTTCAATAAGTGCCTTGGTCCTGATATAATGAAAATCAAAGGCGGTTAAAACAATTCTTTGTCGCATCCTTCTTTCAAATAAATGCCCCCTGTCAAATAATCACCGCATATATTTGAGGCGTGCAAAATTTAATATGCACCAGAGCGCTTGTTCTAGTAAATATGGTATCTTTTATTCTAAAATTCGTGTCTCTTTACATAACAGGGCTTTGCCAAAGAACATGCCAAATGGAATCCAACAGCTGGCGTAGCATTTGAGTATGACCCTGATAATTCCTTGAGACACACAACATACCCAAGACCGGAGGAATGGTTTGTGTTAAGATTTTTTCATTGTACATACATGTATATGTATGCATGTTATTGATTTTTAAATAATGTTTTTGTCAAAAGTGAGTTGTGTGTTTTTCACTCAAACTGCATGAATGCCTTTTACCCAAATTTACAGTCCAGAACACCATTCAGATGTTAATTAACTTAACCCCATTTATTAACCAGCATAGGCTGAATGGCTCCCTCTTATGCCTGTCAGACAAGCAAATTTCACCAGGAAGCCTATTTTGTAAGAAACATTCTTTGCATTTGCACTCTTGGTGTGTGGGTAATAGGGACTTTAAGCAAATTGCGATGGCGATCTCTACTACAGCGGCCGGAAGTTAAGTCGCCCAAAAATTATGCAGTGTGCATGCTTGGAAATGATCTTTCAACGTATTCCTGAATCCTTCAACATGAAGACCTTTCTTGCGGCGTAGTCGCTTCTACGTGAGCGTAAAAGTCAGCTTTCCCACTTTTTGAAGCAAAGAGGGAAAAAAGTAACGAAAACATCCAGCTAGGAGCCAGGAGGTACATGGAAAAGGAGTCACCAGTTGTGCAGATTTCCTGTCATATTCACATCATTTAGGGCAGTGACACATTTTTTTTCTTTGCAGGCCTAAAAGTGAATACACAGAACTAGACGAAGACACCTGTAAGTAAAGAGACTGGACTTTGACATAATTCATGTTTTGATTGTTTTGATTTTAATTTTGTTTTTCTAAGTCTTTAGTCAAGGTATTTGTTAATCGACTTCGAGTTTATTCTAGACTGCAAGTCTGTAAGCAGTCCCATATTTCTTATATTAGTCCAGAGAGCAATCTGTGTTGAAACTGAAGTGAGTGCACCCTGCTATCAGAGCCTTCCTTTCACTTGCTCGATTGTGGCGTACTCCGGCGTACTCAAGAAAGAATCTGCATGGATCGAGTAAGATCTTCCTTGAGCATGCGCTGCATGTTGCTAGGATACAGTTCCAAACCCAGACCTAATGGCCGTGTGTTCTTAGCGCTAAAATGTTTGAGAATCCAGATGTTTCGGGACTACTGTCCCTTCATCAGTGGAAGATCTTTCACTGATGAAGGGACAGTAGTCCCGAAACATCTGGATTTTCAAACATTTTAGCGCTAAGAACACAAAGACAAATTTTGATTGTAATCAACTTATCAGCGCTAACCATGTTTTGTTCCTAATGGCCGTGTGCTTGGTACAGTGGGCTCAGTTACAACCATTGATTTAATAAAAAAAATGGATGCACGCACGCGAAAAAGCAGTTTGACGAGAGAAAGAAAAATTGACTCGTCCAGTAGTCCGGGTTGCGGCGACTCCATAGGCCTTACGCAGCGGCAGATCCAGACATTCAGATAAGGAAGGTGGGGTGGGGGGGTGGGCGGTCATTCAGACCCTGAGATAAGGGGGGGATGGTCGCAAAAAAATTTTTTCCGCCCTTCCGGCCTCACTTTGCTCTAAAAATAAGAGGGGGATTGGGGGGGCGCGGGCCCTCCCTGGATCCGCCACTGTTACGTGACTAGGGCAGTCTCCACCAAAAAGAAGACAAAAGAAGGCTCTGCTCGCAGGGTGAGGTGAGTTTAATAGGAACTACGTGTCTACTTGCTCATTATATCCTCACCCCATGTTGAAATGCGGAGAGTACAAATTATTTTTTTACTTTTTGCAATGTAGAGATGTTTCGCAATTTTACGATATTAAGAGATCAAAAGATCAGTCTATGGCGTTGTCTGAATGCTGAGACCATCTTTATCAAATTAACTCTCTTTTTTTCCTTTTTCCAGATCAAGCTCCTTTTGACCCAAATGCAAAAGCAGACAAATTCTTCATTAATGTAGAGGTATGCTATGTTATAGCACAGTCGGAATCAGTCATTCTAGTCGCTAGAGTTAAACCCCTCCTAACGAGTCGTGCAATTTAACAGACGTTTGAATGATGGGCCACAAAGTTGTCCACAATCATACAAATTTGTAGTAAATTTTGCCATGTTACAGATTCATATCGTTGTTAGTTTTCAATACACCGCTCTCGCACTTAATTCGCAAGTTAACTGGTTTTAGGGTGCCTTTTCCAAGGGTGTTTATGGATTTTTACCACCTGGGCAGTCTTAAAATTGAAACAAATCGTACAAAAGTCTGTAAAGGACTGCTTTACAGTTGTCCTAACCTCTTTTCACGTTTCTTTACAGTCCTGTGGCTCACTAAAGCCCGAGACCATTGTGATGTCAGGGCTGTCTGTCCTCAAGAAGAAACTAAGTGATCTACAAACTCAACACAGCCATGAAGTAGCCGCAGATGTCTTAACGATTTGAAAGACCCTCGTGACACTTTATATTTATGTCAGTTTTGTCCTCAGTAAAATCTTAAAAGAACGCTCTCTCTCTTTCCTCTTTTGCTCCCTGTCTGATGCATGTATTAACCCGCATTTCCTTGGCTTTATTTTGAGGGAAGGGGGATTCCCATATGAAAGGGACAAGAATTCTCGTAGTTTCCCTAAAGGGTGTACGTTGCAGATTTTGGTCCAATTCAAGGTGTCTAGGACGTGAAAAAAAAAATAAACAAACAAACAAACGGTCATACAATGCTACTGTATGGTCGCTTTACATGCCACGCCCAATTTGGTTTCCTTAAGCAAAATACTAACTGAATGAGTAGAAAGGACTCGAAGTAGTCGGCTGAAATTCAGGCTACGCCACGTGTACCCTGTGGGTATTATCATCATGATTCTGACACCAATCTGACTTAAGTGTTAAAGTTCATTTTTATCAAAGGAATTCTATTATCTGACATACTTTGTCGATAGTTTATTAGGGTACTTGAAGCCTTTTCAAGGACTTGATTGATGGGCTGAAAGCCTTTTACTTTAGTTCAGAGTTCAGAATTAAACAATGGTCAACCGACGCAATCTCGCGACCTTCAGCCCGGTACTCTTTTTCAGAAATTTTTCGACTTTTTTTACTTTTCGACGGACAATTTCGTCTTTTTAGATTTTCAGAAAGCAATACTTATTGAGATAATACCTAAATTTCCATCTTTTCTTTGCGCTTTAATGGGCTAGAAATAACTTGCGTGTAAGTTTTCCTTTGTTTACAACGTTTTCGGTACATTTCACGTTCTTGTCGCGTACGGTGACCTGAGGAGCTCCAGTAAAATTTTATTATTCGAAAGCGTTTTAATTTGTAGAGCTGAAACTTCAGGTATAGTTAAAAGAATCACAGCTCTTCCATGTAGTATAAATTTGCAACATATCAGAATCGATTTGTTGCGGCTAAAGTTGGGCGTTATTTCGACCGCCAAAACTGCACACAATCATGGTGCAAACAAAAACTTTATTACAAAAGTTATTTTGAAAGACCTTTTTTATACAGTCTTGCAGCTTTAAATAACTGGTAAATGCATGTAAAACATCAAGTCGATAGGAGCTTTGCTTCCAGACCTTCCAGGAAAATTATTGAAATTTGCATCAATTTCGCAAATAAAAAAATGTATTTTTATCGAATTTTCGAACTTGTCTAAATTTCTCATTGGGGATTTCTTAATATCATTTCTTGAACCAGTTCACCTGTATGGATGTTTGGGTGGTATATTAGCCAAAATTTGAATTTTTAGAAATGATTTGAGATTTGAATTTCTCGAAGATAGAGCAGTTCTAATGGCAGTAACAATACATCCCTATCTATTACTGACAACGCCGCAACGCAATCACGGTGATTTAACCCGTTTGTGTTTACTATTATGCATGATTTTTTTCTTGCCAGTGTACAGACGCCCTCCCCTATTTTTTTCTTAGGGGAGGGGGCGTTTGTACACCGGCTGGCTAGGTTTTCTCATAAAGTAGTATTACCTCTGTTATTTCTTGTCATTTTGCCCGATAGGTGATCCGATGTGATCCAGTGTGATCCAAATGTGTGATCAATTGACAGGGGCACCCAACGAGAATATAGTTCAAAACCACTTAAACATAGCATTGTTAAACGTATTTTAGTATTTAAACGGTAGATATAGGTATATGTTTATCCCCTAAAAATTTTTCATCTGTTCGGATCTCCTAGCTGAAAGTCTAGTGATCCGAAAGTTATAAGGATCAAAACTTGCCGTTTCGAAAATTTCAGCCAGAAAAAAGGCTCCCGAAAATTGTAGGTGACCTTTTTAGGGTAAAAAATCCGTTAAAAAAGGCAATTATACCATTTTTTAGATGTTCGAAAATCCTAGGAGAGGCAGGCAAGCAAGAAATTTTATAACAAATGTTTCGAAAACTCTAGATCTCAAATCGTCCTCCGAACAGATATTCTTCCGAAAATTGTCGTTGGGTGCCCCCGAATTGACACCTGGCAAATAAAAACTGAGGAGCTCCTTAACTCCTGACCCAAGTTGGCGTTATGTCTACTCAGTGTTGACTAGATAGCTATGACCAGGCGACTTAAGTAAATATAAAAGCAACCTATGGTTTTGATTGAAGACTGGTAGATATTTATAAGAATTTCCCACCTGTATAGCCATGTTGATTCGACTTTAATAGCCCATGTTCGATATATTTAAATTCTAACATGACTCCGAGGCTTTCTGCTCATTTCTCTATATTTGGTTCGGTTTTCTTTGTGCTCAAGTCTCTTCTGGGAGTTACGAGACAATACGAGTGGTGAAAAATTTCCAATTTTGACCCTAAAGCCTCAGAGTCATGTTAATATTTTAATAATAAAATGTTAATAATTTTAATATATCGAACGTGGGCTATTGAGCATGCATTGAATTAATGAATTGAATTTAAGAAAGTTAATTCATTATAAATCTTCAACCCAAAGCTCAAGGCACCATTTATACTTGGACGTGAAACAGTGAATTCGTACTGAATGTAAACAATCTTTCATTAATGACTGAAAGGAGACAGAAATCGGAACATCTTGCATGAAACATCTGCGCATGATTAAAATACATGCTTTTGATTGGCCAAAAAAATCTTTGACCCAATATGTAATTAATAGCCGCTTCCGCAAGGTGCCCTTAGTACCTCCGTGGCTTTCATGGTGGAGTGCACGAAAATTGCCTATTATTACGTTGTTCATTTTGAGTTATCTAAGGTAAGTCAAGATAGAGAGATTGTAAATTATTGTCATTTTCCAAAAGGTACATTTCGCCATTCAAAACACCCTCGTCTAATATAGAGTGTATAGAACCTGCAAAGAACACGAAATGGATGGACATTTTCTTTTTTACAATCCTCTCACGCAAGATTATCGCTCTGCAACTGAAGGCGACCTAATTTAAGTTCATACCGAGTTTGATTAATTGCAAGTTAGGCATTCCAGTTTCTTTATTTCTTAAATCATCTTCATGTTTGCAGCCAGAGATTTTAAAGTTCTATTTTATTTAAGAAAAAAAAATGAACTTATCATCATTGTGACCTCAGTTCAAAGTCATTAGATTTCTATGGTCTCCTTAATAAGCTTTCGTGACCTTCAGCCCGAGCGGCTGTGAAGGAGACAACACAGAGGTAACTCTTAAGTTAACTGTAACAACCGTTTAAAAAAAAATTGTGAGCAGTTTTATTCGATTTGTACCTGAAATGATGTTGGTTTAATCTTGGCCGTGTTTTCATCCATAATGTAAGATTCTTGTCTTGCGTGAGATAAGGAGTGTACATTTCACCTGGAGACAAGCCAAATTCATAGTACCCGAGGTCAACTGGGCGAGCTTTTTTTACCGGGTAGCACGAAAGTTTTATTGTTGGTTTTTACATGGCGTCACTAAAATTCAAACTATCGATCCCACAGAGATTTCACTTTCATGATGTACTAGAGCATCTGAAAAAATTATTCCTTCCAATTCTCGCGTCAAAATGGTTCTTGGTTTTGTGATAAAAGTACGCTTGAATTTCTAAGCTTTTGCGTGACGTGGCATTTACATGACGGCCGAGAGAGCTGTCATGTAGGTTAAAAAAGTGACTTATTTCGGGGGAAATTTTCCTATCTGAACAGTTCGTGTATCAGAAAAAGTATTATTTTAATGTTTATTTGTTCCTCGAGGATCTTGCAGAAAAGCTCGCTAACAGATGTTTCTGTTGGTTTCCGTCTTCCATCTTGGTGCCCATCCGGATGGGCCCCAGCATGGCGTCTCCATACAAATCTCTATAAATTTGGGTAAAACATTTCTTCGGATATCTCATACACGAAAAACTCCTCTGACTCGAGTCTTGGCGAGGGTCTTTGCTTATTTACCTCCATTCATTTCCCAGATTCAGGACATTGTCTATTAAACGGTTTTGATTTTTATTTTGATCTATTTTGAATGGCGTGACACTGAAAACCACCAATAAAATGATCGTTGGAAACCGAGAGGGGCCGGAACTGAAATATTGCCCGCTCAGAGATTTTTAAAAGCGGGAAACAGTTTCATTGTTAAATGTCATGTGACCTCAAAGTAAACACCAATGAGAGCACCTGTTGTTGGGAAAAAATTTCCAGCTATACCGTATTTATTCGATTAAACGCCGTCCTCGAATACACACCGCACCTAACCAGAAGAATGTGGCGTTTACTCGAGGATAATAAGAAAAACCTCAGTACAACTTGGTAATTTTACACCATCCAGAAACTGACGATTCTATCTCAGCAAAATAACAGTGACAATGGAACCTTTAAATTACATAATATTTACAAACGATTTACAATAACTGTTGTCATTGATTGAAAAAAGGGATTTCGAAAGAAACGCCGCCCTTGAATAACGACGCATTGGAAACGCTAAAAATTAAATAAACGCCGCGGCGTTTAATCGAATAAATACGGTATAACAAATTCTTATTACCATGTTCCACTGTTTCAGTCATTCAACCCTGCATTTCCGCCTAAGGCCAAATACAAATTAGATATATGAATTTGTTAGACTGAATGTTTACCAGTTCTCAAGGTCCTTGCATGTCATTAAATTTGTGCATTCAATTGGTCAATACTGAAGCTATGCTGTCTATGCTTTCCATTATCCAAAGCCGAACGGTCAGAGACCGGTGCAACTGTAAGAGGAAAAACGGAACGACATTGTTCAATTAAAGAAAAGGTTCCCAACGGATAAAAAGGTTTCCATTTAGGATTCGACCAAATTTTGACTACTTTTAAAGGAATTGGGACTGGAAGCGGCAAGTTTTGGTCGGACACTAGGAACGGTCAAAGAGGAATATCTAAGGAGGAGGATAACTTTTACCAGAAAATTTGCCCATGGACCGAAGCGTTCCATTTCTATTTCTACCGAAATTTCAAGAAATCTTGGCATAATGGAAAGCATTCTATCAGTTTTTCAAGTCACGATATAGCAAACTTGAGAAAAGATGGTTCTTTTCTCGATAAAAAAAAAAAGGAACTTTATTGAGACTCTCTTCAACAGGGCTTTTCAGTCACAATGTTAATTAAAACACCGAAAAGAGATTTGTAAGATACGCAGAAGAGTATTTTTGCTAAGAGCCTTGGGGTGTATGATATAGTGATGAAATACTGAGTCGAATGTTTAACACTCGGCTACATCTCAGACAATATGATTTTAGAATAAGAAATTATAGGTACACTTATTAAACCTTAACTTTTTTCCAATACATACTGACATTACACGTTGCAATAGACCCTTCTTCGGTTTTTTTAAACTTTTGACGTGGACGAATAAGGAAAATCCGTCGACACCATTGGAAATAGCTCCTTAAAATAAACAAACTGCCCACTTTCAAGATGATACGTCTTAAGCGAGAGAAGATAGCACCACAGAGTTTCGAAAATTTACATACGTTTGTACGGTGGGAAACAAGTTTGTGCACCCCACCATACAAACGTCTGTAAAGTGTCGCGACTTGACGAGCCATATTTTTCACAAAGCACTTTCAAACTTGGCAATTTTACTAAATTTAATGCGCTCTTTTCAGCGGAATTGACGGATTTTCTCTAATTTGTCCATGTCAAAAGTTGAAAAAAAAAAAAAAAAAAAAAACGCGGCAAGTTCGATTTTTTTTTTATAGGATGCCTCGACAAGCTGATCAACATTTTGACGATATTTTGCGATATGTTGGCGAGTTTGGATTATGGCAGAAATTTCTGTACTTCTCTTCCTGTTTTTTCGTCATTGTATCCAGCGCCATACAAATAGCTTCACTGGTCTTCGCTACTGGCACGCCTAAATTTCATTGCGTGACTCCCAATGTCACGTGTGACGAGAACAAATGCTGTGCCGAATGTACAAGCTACGCTTTCGACCAGTCATTTACTAGCACCGTGACTGAGGTGAGAATTGGTTTCATTTCTTGTTTTGTTACAGCATCGGCGGTTTGGACTTGGAAACGAGGCGGACGAGTTCAGTTCTAAATACGCCATTTCCATGGTGATGACAGTCAACAGTAGTATAGTAGGGACCGGCTAGACCCCTTTTTTGCGGAGGAAACTCATTAAGTTACAGTGTAATTCATTTAGGACTTCAAGATCCAACGACGCGACGGCAACGAGAACGTAAAAAATAGGTTTAATAAGCAAAACAACAACTGTACGCCTAATTTCGTGTTTTATGTAAAACGTAAACAAGCAACGACGAAATGTTATTTCTCCTTTTGAACTTGAAGGATGACCAAGTAAGTGGGTAGGAACAATCGCGATTAAAACTGAAAGAACGCAAATCCACTTTTTAAGCGACGTTCTCGTTGTCGTCGCGTCGTTGGATCTTAGACTCCTTATTAACGCACATGACGTCGTAGCCTTTTGTATTAAACTCATTAATAGAATGCGGTGGAATCTCATTAGGATTAAGTCATTTGGTATTTTTAGATGGTTTAAGCGGATTGACAGGTTTTAGATGGATGATGTTATAGCCTTTTTTGCCTTTGTCTTTATCTCATGAATGAAATGTGGTTAATGTTAAGGAGACTCCTGCACAGGAAATGTTAACGAGATTCCTCCGCAAGAAAGGAGTTTAACCAGTCCCTACTATATTGCTCTCAACTGCCAGAGTTAATATAGTTTTTGCTTTCTTTATGTATTTCTTAAATCCCAGTGAGAGTTCTTTATATGACGTCATCATTATGCATGAGCTTACTATTAATGAACAAGTTGCCTTGTTTTTTTTAAAAACACATCTTTTGCTGTTTTTGTTAGAAAATGTCCTTTTTATCTTATATTTACTTTGTTGTTGTTTTAGTGGAACCTTATATGCCAAAAGGCGAACATTGCTGCCACAGTGCAGTCGCTATTTGTTGGAGGTATGATGGCAGGTTCTCTCTTTTTTGGAGCAGTATCTGATTTCTTTGGGCGAAGGTTCTGTCTATTCTTATGCAGTGCGCTGGCGGTAGGTTCATCAATTACAGTATTGGAATCTATTTATACTGATATTTAGGATTACGTTTCAACTAAGTGCAACGATCTATTCTAGAGTACAGGAGCTCGTTACCTAGTTCAGAAAGTCAACTGTCGGATGTAAAACAGTTTACAGTTAATATCATATTTTTCCTCAGTAAATTTGATGTAAATCAAATTTTTAGTGCCGTGATATACAGACATTGTTTTCGGTGACAAAGCCCTGAAGCCGATCTGAGATAACAACAATCTTGAACTGAAAGTGTTAAGAATTTTACACTTTCTTTCTTACAGGAGACCCACCCTGCGAATTTGGCGCCATGGTGACCCCTGCCTCCCCCGCTTCGTGGTCAATGTTGTTTAGTCGGGAACAAAAATGTTCCGGCCACACTTCAACATTGTTTTTTTTTGGAGGGGGGGAATGGGGAAGTATCTTGAGTGAACGGGGTTTAGAGGGAAGCATTCTAAAATTAGACACACAACAAGCATTTTTCTTAACATTTTTGTCCAAGATTGAAGGTTGGCACAGTGACGAGAGCACTCGCTTCACACCGATGTGGCCTGGGTTTGAATATCTGAGATTACGCCATTCCTCGTTTGGTTTTATGTTCTCCCCAGAGAAATATTTCCCAATTCCAATTCGATGGGCAATTTCAAACCAAGAACCCGTATGTCGTAGATGCACTACCACAAAATCTTTGTTTGTTTGTTTATTTCATCCTTATTTCCTTCCTTCTGCTCCTTTCATCCTTACATCCGTTCGACCTTCGTTCCACCATCCACTTATTTGCTGGGAAGGTATTCCATGCTGCCATGGATGGTGGGCGCTTTCCATTCACCAAAAATTCCGGTTTGAAATTTTGGAAATTCCACGTTCCCCTTAGTGGAACTGTACATACCGGATGCACAGACGTGACCGAGACCACCGAGTGTTTGATTCGCGCCAAACACAACACGAGAGCCAAAATAAAACAAAAATCTCCTGAAAAATGGCTGACTCGTTAATGAGTTCGCTACAATGTCATCCACCTGTGCTTGTTGAGCATGAATACAGCAACAAGACAGATAAGTCTGCTGCTCGTCTTAAAAATGGGGTAAACACCTGTTTCCATATCTCAAACCGCGCTTGGATACCTTTTGATGCCTATACAAAGTAATTTCATGTATATACGAGTGAGCCTTGACAATAGTGATTAGGGTTAAGCACTAACGATACCGACTAGGGTTAAGCACTGAAAATACTGATTAGGGTTAATGGTTAGCTTCTATTTAGGGTTAGGGTTTTCGCTATGCTACTTAAATCAAACCAATCTGCTGCATCGCATCCTCGGTGGTCTAGTGGTTAGGATGCGAGACTGCGGACCTGGGTATGAAAGTTCTTTTTTCCTTTAAAATTGAAGAGACTTGCACTTTGACAACATTTGTTGAGCAGAAAGTCTGTGAGTTAAGAAACTCGGAAATTTCATATAAGTGTAAGTGAAAAGGGAGAGGGCGGTCTGAGATATGGAAACAAGCGCTTACCTAAAAATGGAGGATTTACTAGTGTCCGCCACATTGTTCCTGTATACAGGATAGAGGGGAGCAGTACTTGGGAGAACAATTTTGTCAAATGGAAAGGAACATTTCGGTCCGACTGGTAGGACCGGTCAAAGTGCACCCAAAATTTCTGCACGGACCAAACAGAAATGGTCCGTTCCATTTGATTTCTAACCGAACCTTCCGGCATTTTAGGCTTAATGGGAAGCGCCCCATATGTCAACTCAGAACCTCTACGTCAGGCCACGGTTGTTCAAAGGTTGGAGAAATAACTTTCCCGTGGATAGTGCAATTAGTTTCCCCCAATAGCACTATCCAACGTTTGAACAACCGGGGCCAGATCGAAAGACTGTGCTATTATATGTAACATATACCCTTTTATTTCCTAGTTTGGGTTTAGTTTAGCATCCAGTTTTGTGGACTGCCTGTCGTTCTTTACATTCCTGCGGTTTTGCTCGGCTGCGGCAATCACAGGCCTGTTTGTTGGTCATTATGTATATATTCTGGAACTAGTTGGGGCTTCATACCGAACTCTGGCAGGCAAAGTGCAGGATATCTTTTGGGTGTTAGGCGCTTGTATCACGATCATGATTGCGTACCTTGTACGGGACTGGAGACATGTACTTCTTATCGCCAGTTTTCCACCTGGACTCGTCTATCTTTTGTGGAGGTAAGCATGTATATAACTTATGAGGGTTTCAATAGGGTGGTGTCTTACACCTAACGTTTCACCTTTTGCGGGTTAGAAAGATATTAGCCCTTGGCCAGGTATGGAAAATCAATCGACTATAAGTTAGAAATATCCAGCCAGATCAGTCGATTCCTAAATAGCTGAGCCCGACAGTTTCAAGATGACCGGTCCGGCAGGTCAGTTCCGACTTTTGGCAAGCCCTTACTAACTTGAAAATTGTCCCTTCCTGATGGAACAAATTAGAACTAGTTGACATGTGGCCACCTGTAAAATGTTTCATAATTTCGTGGGATGCCAGTATTGTTTGTCTTACTAGACTCCAAAAGATTGGCTGATAAAAGCCATAAAATCTAACTTTTCTCCCGAACTATTATTTTCAAGCCAGGAGTATATATCACACCAGGGGCCATACAGAAAACGTGCACAACAATTCCTTTTTAAGGGCAAATGCTGTTAAAAGTATTGAGACCTTCCCCAGATATTAGTTAAACTGACAACCTTTCCCCCCCACCCCCTCAATGTTGAAATTCGAGCAAGATGGGTGGAAGGGTCTTTCCAGCTGCCCCAAGTTCTTTTGACTTACGTTGCAGAAAAACAGGGCCAGCCTGCTCTGCTGGTAACGGCCACTAAATTGCGTCCCAGCTGCCAGAATAATTACCTCTCCACTATAGCCATCCAGAAGCGACAAACTATATAGTATCCAAACTGATTTACTAACTATCATTTCTTTATCTCAGGGTACAACGCGTACTTGAGTTTTGACTTCATATCAAGTCTTAAACAAGAATAATCTTTTCTACAATTGTTTTCCTTTCACCTTGCTGACACATTTGATATAAATTTAGAGTGTTTCCAGAGTCTTTGCGGTGGCTGGTGGCTCAAGGCCGTTTAAAAGATGCACATGCCCTTCTTAAGACATACGCTGAAAAGAGCTCTGTGAACGTGGACTCAGATGCCCTCAGCTCCATGCTGGATAGATGCAGAGCAGCGGAAAGCGAACTAAAGACTGGGATCAAGAGATCCCCGCTCGATCTCGTGCGAACGTCGAGAATGAGAAAAAGAACGGTGATTCTGTGCTATAACTGGTAAGCCTGTCTTGGTATTGTATTGTTTATGCTGATGTTTTGGCGTCTTAAAAAAATCATTCCTTGCTGGAAGAAAAATCGCAAAAGCCAGTGCAAAACGCATCAACATCCCAAAATGTGACGAGGCTGTGACGTGGAGTCACGAATCTGTTTGATCACAAAATTGATTCCCCTGCAGGACAGTCAGCAATGATTCTCCAAGAACAGAAAGGAAAATTGGGTTGCTTAGTATTGCGAATTGCCGAAACATCTGTATGCTGCGAAATGACTAAGCGCGATGTATCAGGAACATTTACACTACGAAATAAAACGGAAACGCTAAGCTTGCGGCCTTACCAAATCTCAGTCCTATGGTAAACAGTTAGTAGTAAATGACTTTCTGATCATCTCGGGCCTTCACCCTTGTCTCATCAGGCTTGTGCTGAACATGATTTTCTATGGAATCATGTTGTATGTTCCTGGTCTGGCTGGCAACCTCTACCTGAACCTGTTTTTGATGTTCCTGACTGACTTGCCTCACACTCCAATGGCATGGATTGTCTTCAGATAGTACGTATTCATCTTGCAGTACTTAAATGATAGGAGAGCAACGGCGGCACAACGGAGAGAGCACTAGGCTCGGTCTCCAGCCGTGGGTGTCTCACGGGCCTATTGAGCCCGCATCGAGACATCGACGGTTGCAGACCGAGCCCATTACAGCACTTGCATCTCCCTAATGTGGCCCACGGTCGTATCCTGAAGTGAGGGCGAGGCCATTTCAAGTTCTTGTTTGATCAGGGATAGTTTTAGCCAGCAAATATAGCCGCCTCTCATCGCTGCCTGCCGCCAGAGATATTCAACGAAAGGGTATCTCACCATGTCTCTAGCAGCGAGGTGAGTGGAGCGGCGGTGGTACTGACAGGCAACGGTATGGCAGACAGAGTCAGCAGGTGGGAGAAACTATTTTACGGGCTTGGGCCACACCCTGACCATTTGTTGTGTCTAAATAAGATACCCACTTAAAAGGTTCTTGACGTGGTCAATTTTTTTCTTACAACGACCTTTTCAATCCATAGAGACAGCTTTTCATAATGCGTGCGCAACCATGCGCAAGAGTTTGTGTCTGTCATGTTTTTTTTTGGTATAGCAAAGCTTTGAAGTACCTGTTGCTACTGCAGCATTGTACATAGTTGAAGTGTTCAGATTAGTCATTGAGATGCGTCCGTCAAATCTAAGACACTAATAATGCTAATCAAGTAAGAGCTATGCAGATTAGAATTCAGATTTTACAACTTATGGACAAACTCAAAAATTTTGCTCCTTAACTATCTACCCGTAACTTGTCTGACCACACTTGAGGTTTAAAACGGTCGGCCTGACAAGAGAGCAGAATCCTGGACATAACTGATTATTTTGTGTTGATTAATAATCTTTGTCCTTTTTCAGTTTCGGCCGCCGTGTCCCGTACTGCTTGTTCATGGTAGCCAGTGGCCTCTCTTTTTTGCTTGTGCTTGCTGTCCCAGAAGGTTAGGGCATGGAGCGAAGTACTTAAATCTTACACCCAGCATAGCAGTACAGCAAATGTAGGATGCTTTGCATTTTGCCAAACCGACCGGTCATAAATCAGACGAACTACAAAACCAATAGATAATGGAACGACATTGCTCGTTTGAAACAAAAGTTTCTAACCGGGTCCGCGCGTTTTAGTTACGTTTCAATCGAATTTTTTCAGTATTACTTCTCAGCAAAGTAGAACTGGAAACGGGAATTTTTGGAGACCGACCAATCAAAGTGAAACACTTCTGGGATGAGCCACGTTTTTCGGTAAATTTCCACTTGGACTGAAGAGTTCCGTTCATATTTTGACCAAAATTTCCGAGATTTTTTGGCACAACTGATCGAATTGCACCCGTAATGTGATAGAACAATACTTGCTTTTATTACATCTTTTATACAGGTATGAAAAGACTCATAACTGCTTTAGCGATGATTGGAAGATTTTTTGGATCAGCTTCTTTCTCCAACATCTACCTGTACAGCACTGAACTGTATCCGACCACTGTAAGGTAAGACACGCTCTACGTCTTAGCAACAATAACTATCACATTCCATCACATAAGAGAGTGTAGCCATTGTCTATAGACGTTAAACGTCAAACACTCTGGCTGCCAATTAGGTGTGGTCGGTGCAGCCAAATCGTCGAAAGTGCTTTGTAAATGAAATGATCGGAGTGAGGAAAATTGAAAGAGCCCTATAAGACAGATGAGAAATTCTTTGCAGTACTACGGCCGGAATTTGGAGTAAGCCGTGTGGAAGTGACCCGTTCTCTGGCAATGATTTCAACACCTACAACTACAACATGGATGAAATTCTGGTAAACCTATGGTATTGAACGGTAGGCGATGATGATCGTCCGAGTATAGAAAACTTACATCTATATTTTCTTTAGTTATCTTCCGTCTTATTCTAAATAACACTAGGTTGTGAACTAGAACCATTCATTGTGTCAAGATGTTGCGACTTGTTTAAGGTTTCATTTTACTTTCAGGAATATGGCACTTGGTGCATGCTCCACGTTTTCCCGTATAGGAGGAATGGTGGTTCCGTTTCTTATTGCATTGGTAAGTTGCTTTATATTCTAAAGGTCATGCAGTCCTAAATATTAATTCGCACCAACCACATATCTACCAGTTAACATACCTATTTTGATATGAAAGTGAACACGATCTTCGCAGTAGAATGAACAACCTAAGCTGTTGAAAAAGAACCTGAAAAAATTCAGGCTTGACCGGGAATCACACTCTGATCTTTTCAATTGCTCAGACGCAACCCTTTATCCATTGCAGTGGTGGATCCAGGGGAGGAGCCCGGGGGGCCCGTCCCCCCTCCCCTCATCTCAGGGTTTGGACCACCGGTCCGTCCCCTTTTTTATCGGAAGGTCTGGATCCGCTACTGCATTGAGCTAATCAACCCAACTGGAGAGCAAGCCAGTCTGAGTTCTAGTCGGCTCGATTAGCTAAATGGATAGAGAAGATCATGTTCACTGTCATCTCTTTATTCGCGGTTCAAAATACCATTCATTTCATATATCTCAATTCATACCAATTTTGAATTACGAAACAGACTGGAAAGTCAATCTATTGAGTTGTTGTAATTGTGAATTTTGTTTGTCTGTCGTCTATAGGGTCAATCTCCTAGCGTGCCTATCACCCTGCCTCTGATTATCATTGGTGTCATGACACTCATTGCTGGTATTATGTCCCTGTGGTTGCCCGAGACCCTGTTGTCAAACATGTATGAGACTGTAGAAGACGTTGAGACGTCCATAGAAAATTATGGTATCATTTGGATGGGGAGGCCACAACCATGTCCATTACGCCTGCCGTTCTGCGGGTGAGAACGTTTCCTCAATAATAGTCTTGAATCTAGTGCTAATGAGAAACTAGAAGTCCATCGTACTGGAAAAAGCAGTGGGGAAGGGTGTGTGGGTGATCTGCATAATCTGATCAGGGGTAGCAAGAGTGGCGCAGACTGGTGAGAACACTCGTCTTCCATCAATGTAGCCACCCTACTGGAAAGAGCAGTGGGGAAGGGTGTCGGGAAAAATCTGCATAATCTGATCAGGGGTAGAAAGAGTGGCGCAGTGGTGAGACCACTCGCCTCCCATCAATGTAGCCATCCTACTAGAAAGAGCAGTGGGGAGGGGTGTGGGGAGTGATCCGGCATAATCTGATCGGGGGCAGCAAAAGTGTTGCAGACTAGTGAGAGCACTCGCCTCCCATCAATGTAACCATCCTACTGGGAACAGCAGTGGGGACGGGTGTGGGGAGTCATCTGCATAATCTGATCGGGAGCAGCAAGAGTGGCGCAGACTGGTGAGAGAACTCGCCTACCATCAATGTAGCCATCCGACTGAAGAGAGCAGTGGGGAGAGTGAGGGGCTATCTGCTTAATCAGATCAGGGGGAGCAAGAGTGGTGCAGTGGTGCAAGCACTTCGCTCCCATCAATGTAGCCATCCTACTGGAAAGAGCAGCAGGGAAGGGGGGGTGGTGGTGAGGGGCTATCTGCATAATCAGATCAGGGCGGGGGGCAAGAGCGGCGCAGTGATATAGGTACTTGCTCCCATCAATATGGCCCGGGTTCAGATTCCAACGTCGACGCCATATATTGGTTGAGTTTCTTGTTGCTTCTCTCCCTTGCTCCGAGAAGATTTTTCTCCTGGTAGTTCGGTTTTCTCCTCTCCTCAAAAACCAACAATGACAGACTCTTATTCGATTTGGAACGCACGGACACGTTCAAACGAGTTCTTAAGAACTCCTAAGTACTCTGGGGGTAAACACATTACAACCTTCAAATTACAATTCCGGTGATTTAGCTAGAAACAAAACAAAACAAATACCTGTTTTCGGCCGAAATAAAGCCCCCGGAGAAACAATAGATATTCAGGGGAATTGCTAAGTGGCACTGAAGACAGAAAAAAGTTCGGCGATAGACGCCATGAGGATTTCGCTTTTCCGACGCAATTATATTATCGTCGTAGAGCAGTCCTTTTTGTCAAAGATTCTCAGTTGCAAGTTTTAAAATACCACACCCGAAACAGTTGCAACAAATATCAGAAGTATTGTGATCACCCCAAAGCTATCTATGGACAAAAGTTAGTCTCAGTCATAGAAAGAGTTAGCTTCATATCAAGGAAGACCAAATGACAAGTCTTAGGGCCCTTTCCATATGTCAGAACTGATCATGACTCGCTTAGACCATTCCCATCGTAATGAGAGCATTTCACTCTTAATCAAAACTGTTTAGCCTGAGATCAATCAAATTCTTAATAGTATGCACGAAGGGGATGATCTTTCAGCCAACTTTCTCGGTAAAAGCCCATTTTATTTTCAAAATGACTGGTCTGGCCGGCCAGTTCTAACAAATGGAAAGCGCCCTTACCCATGTTGAATCATTTGTTCTAGGCCTGTAGATTTTGAAGTACTTGAACTGATAGCTTTAGGATGGGATTTCGTTCATTTTGACAGCTCAACTAAACATGCGTCTGCTTTCTATTAATAGCTGTAAAGATGCCGACGCACCCAAAAAGGAAATGTACGTTTTAGCGGAGCATTCCAGGAACAACCGTGTAAACGACGTAGAGAAGGCGAATGAGACTTCTCCCAAAACTAGCTCAGAAAATGAAACTGTCGCTGACGTTTCTAATAATGCGTAGAGCCTCTGTGTCACGAGTACAACGGTACATTTTATACAATCGCAACGTTTTCAGACATGGACATTTATCTCCTATTTATTCTAGCCAGCAGAAATAAAGGGCAGCGGACCATTTGACGTTTGAGGGGGGGGGGGGGAAATTTTTTTTGCCCGAAACCTCTGGTGACAGAATGTTTTTCGCTGACATACAAAGCCATTGTGTGGCTGGTATTTCTTTGCAAGAGTTTCTTTTTGCTCGAAATCAGTCTGCAGAATATTGTTTTCTTAAACACCCATACCCCCCTCCCTTCAAAAGTCAAATGGCTGGCCCCTAACAGAACAATTCAGCAGCTTTTGAAACTCAGTTTTTGTGTTCGTTCGATCGTCATCGATGACTTTCAGCAACCTGCATGTTGCAAATAACGTAAGCAACATGCTAAAAGCGGCTTTTGCCTTTGCTTGAAGGGCTGTAGTCCAGTTTTGGCCATCTCTAGCTTCTTTGCTAGGCAATCATTATTGCGTAGTTATCTTTGTACTGACGCGTTTAATGTTTCACAAGTGTTGAGCGCTTCTGATAGTGACAAACAGCGAAAAAATTCCCTAAATTTATTACACATTAATTTCAACATATCTTTATCAGCTTTGCGCCAGTTTTGGAAAGGCCATCAACTGTGATTTACTTTGCTCTACGTAGAAGAGTATAGTACCTCGCCTTCCTCTGGGAGAAGGCAGCGTTGTCTGACAGAAACAGGAATTAAAAAGGAATCAACGCACATCAAAGCACTTGCTTGGCTTTGGTTCCTCGGTCACGATCAGGGCATTTGTTTTGCAAATTACTGCCATCACATTGTATGATTATGACGATGAAGTTGCATTTTTACCATTTGAGTATTTTTTTAATCCTAGACTGCAAAACAGTGCGTATTTTTTCCTAGGCTAAGAACTCGCGCGCACGAGCGGTCAAAGAAAAGGTCTGGAGTGAGGTGAAACTAAGGTGTTTTTGGCTACACACGCTCTACGGGCGTTAGCGCAAAAACTTCGCGCCTTGTAAAACCGATTTGAGGAGAAACAACAACGACTGTTTTACAGTCTAGTTTTGTTCTTTTGGGTTAGTGGAAATGTTACGAAGGCTTTGAAATGGTCAGTGGCACCGATAGAAAGGTCATTTAAAGTATTAGATGTATTTAACTTTATTGCCATCTACATAAACGGCGTGGGGTCTTTTTAATAATTCTTGCGGTGTTGCTGAGTCGCAACTGCAAAACTAAATAACTTACGCAAGTTGCTTGTTACCAATAAATAATTTACATTTGTTTCGTTCATAGCTGTGTTACAAATGCTTTAAGAGTGAAATAAATGGAATAAAATTATTAAAAAATAGTTGGTACAACTCTCAAATACATTAATTTAGTTCAAACTTCGTCAATTGAGCTCTTTTTTATATATAAAATTTTAAAACTATTGAGGATTAAAGGCCATCAAAGAAATCTGTTTACGTTTAAACTGGAAGAAAGCCCGGACCACTACGCTACGTTCTACATTTAAAGCACGATGTCAGGCCCAGGATCGAGTGCTTGATTTGGTGCTATCAATCTCAACTACAATCACAGACTAAAGTCCTGGGGCTTTTTAAACCGCCCCCTTTCCCCACCCCAAAAACAACGTCGGTCGCCTCTATCCAAAATTTGTCCCGAGTTTCAACATTGTGTAAGGTAGAAGGGGGAGGGAGAACTGCAAGATATTTTTCAAACGATAGCACCGTTTTATGAGGGCACCCAGAAATTACAGACAATTACGAATATTGCATCACTGTCCCAAGGACTTCAGGATTGTAGAAAGCGATCCAGATACTTTGAAGAATAAATTGGTCTTTCTTATAATGTTTCAGCGTAATATTCATCGGTGCAGTAGTTCGGGTAGAAACACTCAGTTTGTGATTACTTTTAACAGCTTTAGCCACCGAAAACATTCCTTCTTAGTTCTAGTGTAAATTAACGTAGTTAACAGAAATTGAAAATACTGGCGGCAGGTGTTGTGTCACCGCCTCCGTTCGTCTTCAGTTGCTTGATCCAAACTTTTCTCCAAAAGTAAAATTTGTTCTGTAAAACGAAACAACATTACTTTAGGCTCGATTATCAGCCCCGCGCTCCACCCTTAAACTCAATAAAAGACCAAACTTCAGAAAACTCGAGCGAACCTAGGAAAGACTGCAAACTGTTGAATGAGGTAGAAAGTAGAAACCTTTAAAGAAGCTGTGCCAAAAAATTTATCGACCTTAAAAAAGTGGGAACTGCCACAGCATTGAGTGAAACATAAAAATAACTGCCTAAATAAAACGTTAATAGAAAGCATAAACACACAAAAAAAGCACAAATTGACAAATCTGAAGAAGACAAAAACGGATTACAATTGTGGTTTTTAAAAACGTCTTTTTGGTGTGTTCAGCGTCTGATATAATGCATGGAAGATATTTTTTCGGATCAATTAGGTTTCTGGGAAACAGCCCGCCTACCCCTCCTTTAAGCCAACATTTTGTTCTAAGTGAGCAGTAAGTGTTAATGTTGGCTTAAGGGAGGGGTAGGTGGGCAGTTTCCCAGAAACCTAAATTGATCTATTTTTTCTTGACAAGAAGTGGTGACTTTTTTCATTTGCTAGAAATTGTTTTGCTAACGTTAAGTTCCATAAAAAAATAAGAAAGTGAATTTTTGTTTTTTGTGTTTTTAACAAAATGAACTAGACTGCCTTGACAAAACCCCTTTTATCGGTCCCCTTCAGCACACGTGTTGCTATGGCAACCTACCTTGATTAAGTTCCCCAATGGTGCTCATTTTCAGAAGGAATTCTTTGCAGATGTCCTTGCTCAAGCCAAAAGCTTTCATGTTACTCAGAAATGTGCTGATAGTGGGAAAAAAGAAACAAATAAAAACCTGCGATAGTTGTGGCATGATTATAAAATCACGGATCCCTGGAATGATATCTGTTACTGTGAAACTAAAAAACTGTGAAAACCAGACATAGTTCTGGAATGCTATCGTATTGTCAGGAAAAGGTAAATTAGGCGTGAGAAAACTAAAGCGTAAGTGGCATTGTGATCTACATGTCTGTCCTGGTCTTAAATCTGATTGGCACTAAGCAATCAACATTCCTACAATGTTTCAAGTGTTCACGGTTTTCCGACTTTTGCAGACAGTGCAAAACTTATAGTAACGAGATCCTTAGGCTTCAAAAGGATCGCAATCTAGAACCCTATTGCAGGTAGTTTTAGCTTTACTCTGAACGGCAGAAGTGGTATAGTAGGGATGAAATGAACCCCTTTTTAGGGGAGAATCTCATTAACATGAGGGGAAATACATTAACGCCGATGACGTCATAGCCTGCGTCAATATCTTATGCGCTAAAGACAAAGGGCTATCCAACATTGGCATTAATGTATTTTCCCGAACGTTAATGAGATTCTCCCGCGTAAAAAGATTAATTTCATCCCTTCTATTACACTCCACGCAGTAAAGCAAACTTCAGATTCGACTACGAACTGTTGCTGATAAGAACATAAATTGACGTAAATTTACTGAGGCACATCAAATTCGTCGCAAAACTCCTACTCAATCCAGTCTAATGATCTAATATGTTCGCAGTTGTATCTTCATTCCCCTACCGTCCATCCCAGCACCACTTTCCAATCTACCCAATCCAGAGAGGATAAAGGGGACAGAGAAGGCATCCCCCATATACACCCTATTTCATAGGTAATTCGTCTCGAGTTATTTTTAGAATCGGGATAAAGTTACCTCGCGCGCTACGCGGATGTTTCGTGGAGGTTTCGCATGACTAAACGCTGTGCAAAACATGTCGGGCGTAAGACAATGAAAGCGTAAAGAGATCGAGAGCATTCCTGAATATTGAAGCGAAATGAGTCGGCGCTCACCTGGGAAAAGGGAATCGCTCCATCTCTTCTTCCGAAAGACTCTTGTTCCGTTTATTTGATTTCTTCGGCGCCTTTTTGCTTGATTTGGTGACGGTCGAGCTCGAAGGCGCAGGTTTAGGCTTCCCTGCGCTTTTTTTCCTCTTCGCTTCATCTGCTGAACTATCATAGGAATAGGAGCTTTCTACATTTTCTTGTATTTCATTGGCACTCTCCTCTTCGGTACAGCTTCCTCCTCGCTTGTACTGACTTTTTCATCTTCTCCGCTAGAAACTCTCAGCTAGAAACAAGCCAGGAAGGGCGATTCTTTTTAAATTTCCGTTTCGCTGACACAGCTTTAGCAGAAATCTATCTATAGTCGTTTCCGTCGACAAAACGAATAGCAATATCGCTCTCCGCGTCTTCCGCCATTTTGTTCTGCGTCAATTCGTGAAGGACGCGTGACTCTGAGCACGGGTCATCCACGCGGAACACATTCCAACTATGTGATTGGCTGTTGTCTAATCCCCCTTGGGATCTGTGGTCTTAAATATAACTCGAGACGAATTACCTATGGAATAGGGTGTGAATGGAGGATGCCTTCTCTGTCTCCTTTATGCTCTCTTGACCTAATAAAACACCCTCGGTAGTGTTTATAGCACAAAGGCTAGTGGGGTCGAAAAAAATCAGTATCATGTTAAATCAGTGGCGGATCCAGGAGAGGGGCACGGGGGGTTCGCCCCCTCCTTATTTTTACACCAAACCGAGGCCCGAGGGGCCGAAAAAAAATTTTCTGAGACCGCCCCCCCCATATCTCAGGGTCTGGATGACCCCCCTCCCCTAAAATTATCTGAAGGTCTAGATCCGCCACTGTCAAAGGCAGCCGTCTTATCTCGGAAGCGAGGAGAGACGGCTGCATTCGCCAACTAGCCAAATGAGTTTGAGGTCTATACTGTACGACCAAATTCTTATTTCTAGGATCTGTAACTTGCAAATTGCAGTACGGACCGAGAAAACGAGGTTAGTAAGATACACATATCTCCGAGCTTAATTGGGCGCGCAGTACCCTGATTCTCAGACATCTCAGGCTCGATCGCGGCCCCTTCGCTTCTCTCCGGAAGGGGCCGCGATCAAACCTCGGACGGACGTCTGAAAATCAGGTTGCGCGCCCAATTAACCTCGGAGATACATATATATCTTACTAACTTCATTTTCTCGGTCTGTATCGAAAGTTGCAAGTGGGCCTTAAAGTAGAATCGGTTAACCACGGCGCAACAGGAACTGGGTGAGAGAAATAATACTGAAAAGTATTGCGGTAGGCAAAGCTAAGAGAGGGGCTCTGCCACGCACCCTAATTTGCCAAACATGCTGTTCTTGTCACATTCCTCGTACTCCATTTGTTCTTCTGGAGACCAGCTGTGCCACAAGTCACTGTAAACAAGAAGCAAATGTAAATATAAAAATAAAAATAAAAATGCCAACCGGCGGCAGCTAACGATGATATCAGGAATTTCAAAAGAAATCTAAGCAAATAATTGTCATATTTGCTATTGTGTATTTTCAACCGAATAAGTCCTTGTAAACGATTTGAAAGTTCCAAATAACAAAGAGAAAAAAATTTACAGGTTGAACAGTTGACGAAAGCCTCATATGCAGTCTTTTTCAGCTTTGTCCATCCGTGCCCGCTTTGTATTTGGTTACTTGTTGTGTTATTTAACGTTCTCTTACTGTATTAAGCGGTTATTTTTTTCTTTCACGCAATTTAGTAGTCTGCGTAGCTGGCGGCTTTTTTAAAAAATTATTATCCATTTACTTCACAAGTCGTTAACGTTCGTTATACAGGTCCCCCCATGTAAAGCTCCGTGCAAACGGATGCAACCTTGTTGGATGTTACATGTTGAGTCCGTTTGAACATCCTGTTGCATGTCGTTGCATGTTGTTGAGAGTAGTTGGGAGTTGTTGCATCCGTTTGCACACCGCTGCCAACATGGACGCAACAACACCCAACATTGTTGGCCAACAATTTTGGGGGCTGTTGCGATCATTTGTCGGTAGCTTAAGGGATAGCCTGCGTTGCAGCCGGCCCACGCACTCGTCTAAACCCTTTGTATAGTCCGTCTGCGAATTAGTGCACAAAAGCTCGTTCTAATATCCTGCAGAGTCGCAAGGACATATGTGAGCGTTTCTGATAGGCGGGTTTCTTACGGGTTTCTTACTAGCCTGCGAGCAAGCTCTCCTATTTGGGCAAGCGAAGCGAGCCTCGCGAGAACGCGCGAGCGAGGGGCCGAGGAAAGGAGAGCTTGCAACCATCTCTCATAAATTTTCATTTCCACCCCGGAAACCCCGGGACTCCGCAAAGCGTGAAAATTGTCACCGCAAACGTGCGGCAGATTAGAAAAGTGACAACCGCCTGTCAAGTAAGTTTAGACAGCCGAGGGCGCGTAGAATTATTTATTTATAAATCGCTTTCGCAACAGCATTAAAGCAATGTTTTTAATATCACTGATATGTTTTTTTTTTTCACGGGGACATCGAACTTCAACGTGTCCGCTCGGATAAGAACTCACTACTTTGATTCTCGTTTCGTTTACTTTTGAAAGGTCGTCCATACTGCAGCGTAGAAGACTACTCCCCATCGCAATCACCAACAAAAACATCATATATTTGTCCGTCTGGAACTGGAGAATAGCGTTTTCCTGCACTTGGTTCTCTTAAGGTTTACTCCAGTTGCTTCCAACTCTTTCTCTTTTCCTTCTTTACGATCAAGCTACACAGCTACACTGTCAAGTACACGTTTCTGAATTTTTCTACCCAGTAGAATTCAATCGGGCGAAGAAACCGATGTTGGAAGACAGCGCTTTAATCACTCTTCACTTTCACTCTCCCGGTTTTCAGAACTAAACAAGGCGCTTGACACAAATGAATACAACTGATGAAGGGTTTTCATTTTCCTTCCACAAGAACTACAAACTTGGTCCGACTTATCCTCGGCACGCAATATTCTCTTTGCGAGAGTTACAACTAACGAGCCCGTCTGCATTGAGGGCTGAAACAAGTTCTCGGTACCAATCTGATCCCCCTGAGAACCAAATTTGACACACAGTCGAAGCGGGTGCCAGCTTGGCCTGTTATCAATCAACTTTGATTTCCGGAACGTCATTTTTCAGCCAATGGTATTTCCCTTCGTCTGGGCGAAGTACAAATGAAAATTTGTAAGGGATGGTTGCAAGCTCTCCTTTCCTCTGCCCCTCGCGGCTTCGCCGCTCGCTCGCGTGTTCTCGCGAGACTCGTTTCACTCGCCCAAAAAGGAGAGCTTGCTCGCAGGCTAGTTTCTTACGAGCCGCACGATTGGCGCAATTCTTACGTGTGCGTGACGGTTGGGTGCAGTGACATGTCAAAATTCACAGAAGGGAGTTGGCAAGGATCGTTTACAGTGAACAAGGAGAGAGTAGTTCGAACTTTAGAGCCGTCTTCTGAGCAAAAAAACGCTTTGAGATAATTCCTTCAAGGCCAGAATTTGCTAGTAAATTTGCCGGCTGGTTTCCCAGCGTCTTCCAATCGCTGCAGATGTACTACTGCGTATTCTGTAATTTAGCCGACAGTTCTAGAGTCAAAACAAATGAAGAAATCATCACGTTATTCACGATAAAAAAAAAACTGCACACATGTAGCTGTTCAGGTCCAAGCGTTTCGTTGAAAACCAAAGAAACTAAGGTTATTTAGCCGCAATAAAGAAGCTTAAGGCTTAATCAGAGGTAAAAGAAAATCATTTATGCATCTGTGATCAAATCGTCTTAGAAAACATTTGCCAAAAAATAAACTACAGGAACTAATTACTCAATATGTATGAAACAGACCAGCTTCACATTCTATAAATGTAGCTAAAGGTGAGACTCAAAGCGGCAAAAAAAAATTTGCTCAATCAAATTGTAGAATACTCCACGAACTGTATAAATTACGCAGAAAGAGAGGAAGAAAAACATCTGTTGTTCAAGCTACTCTAGGGGTCTCTAAAGTCACGTTTCACACTATCACGAGCTCAATCTCTCTGGTCACGAGCTATGAGTCATGTTTGGCCTGTCAACGCTTAATTCAAATCGGACTAATCACAAACTGCGAAAGAAAATAGCCAGTCAATAACGCCGACATATTTCTTTGCGACTCTACGGGATTCGAACACGATATTGTGCACTAATTCACAGACGCTATATACAGAAGGTTTAGAGCGTCTGCGACGCAGGCTACTTAAGGGAATACGAGAAAGTTTTGCTTATGGAATCCGGAATCCTGGGCTTTGGAATCCGGAATACAGCCCAAGCAATCAGGAAGCCCACTTATGATTGGAATCCGGAACCCAAGCTCCACTGACGAAGATCCCGGATCCAATAGCTGGAATCCGAAATCCACGGCGTGGGATCCAGAATCCAAGTCTGACTTGGATTCCCTTACTCGAGGCGACACAAGAGTAAGTTACAACCTATTTGATCCTCACTATGTGTGGCCAAACCGTATTCCTTAACTAACTGAGGCATTTTCGTATGTTTCTGTTGTTGCAAAAACTTTTTCAAAACGATCGTGTCCCTCAAAAGTAAGCACATACAAATAGTAGCTAGCACCTAGCTGAATCTACAAACCTCGGAATGGCTGGAAGTTCTTTTTCGCCGTGGACTGCATCGAAAAATGCTGCGTTCCAAAACCGCAGGGATTTCCTACAT